CCGATTTAATATTTTTTATTTACAGAAAGGTACGTCTCATGAAAAAGCGCCTCAAACCTCCACCTGAACTCCATGCGGTCGATGGGTGTTCCACAGAGTTAGCTCCAGTTGTAGCTAGGTGGCTACATCCGTTAGCTCGGCTCCCACCTCCGCATTAGCTTTGGGTTAGCCAGGGTTAGCTTCAGGTTAGCTTGTAGCTAGTTCGACCGGGTGTCGTCAGTCGATCCCAGCCTTACAGCCCCACCCTCAGCTCCTCCTCTCTTCCCTTTTATGGAATTGTCTGGGCTGGACGGAACCTGTGACACGGTCAAAATGGTGGTGGTGGCCACCTCCCATTTTAGACAAAAAACTTGTTATTGGAGCCTATGGAAACCCATTGTCCAGTATATATGTCGATGGTTTATATACGTATCTATGGAAGGAACCCTAACCACCCCTGTGCGCCATCACGGACACCGCAGGAACACGTTGCCCTTAATATCCCCCCCCCCCCCCCCCCCCTTGTCTTCACTTCATTCAAAGGAGCCAGTCTTTTGAACGGCTCTTTGAGGTAAACGACCGACTAATGAACGGCTCCCATGAAAGAGCCATAAATCCTATCACTGACAAAATCATGGACTGATGGTGATCTGGCTTTGTTTCTACTGGACTTTTAAGTAATAATATGTTTTTGTTGACATGTGGCTTATTTTAGTATCAGATGGCTCATGTTAGTGTTAGCTCATTATTCGTGCTAGCTACAGCAGGCTGCTTAAGAGTTGTGTACAACAGTTGTAATTCCACTTTCAACCAGTAGGGCTGAGCAGCAGGAAACTGCTCTGTGTGACCAAGTTTCAGTAGCTTGGGCAGTTGTAGCGGTCACACCTTATAGCGTGACGACTGGCTGCTAAGAAATTATGACCAACAAGATGTGATTATTCCATATAAATATGAAATATCAACCTGATTGATCTTTGAATGTTTAATTAGAAGATTCTAGGGTTCTTTGCTTGTTCAGGGACCATAAACACACTTCGTATTAATTCAGACAGAGTCTGGTACATAACTAATGATTATTCATGACAAGATATGAATAATGAGATGTGAGTGGATATGCGGTGATGGAGTGTGATGTGTAGGTGGTGTGATGTAAGCAGATGTTCACCAGAACCTTTGTATCTGAAAGAAATTGTGAAATCTGGGTGTAAAAGAATTTGTGGTCTGCTATAAACTAGAGAGCTGATTATTAATAAAACAGCATCAGACGCAATCTGTTGTGTCTACAAACCCTGGCGGACACCCCCAGCAGATCCGCACTGTCAGAGGTCGGGTGGACCTCACGGCACCGGGATTTCGTAGATTAACTCCGGTACGACCCGTCCAGTCTTGAGATGTCTCCAGGTCACAACAGAAGCTGTAATGCTTGTCTGCGTCCAAAGTGGATGTGGCTCTTAGGGAGCCGTCTCAAGGATGCTTGTTCCGAATTGGCCGGTTCGAAACTCTGCTAGAAACTGAATTACTTGGGAAGTAATTCCTGTTTTATTAAACTACTTTGTTATGATTTCTGGCCAAGTTTGGCCAATCAGAATTTGACAAGTTTCTGGGTATTTACCAACATCCCTCAGAAAGCCACTCCCTCCTCAGGTACAAAAATGTTTTTATCACTGTGACTGAGGATGGTTTAAAACACTTATGTGAGGTGAACCTTAACCGTAATTAGTATCTTATGAAGATGTGTATGAGTGTAGATAATGATTAACATGTTAAATGGCGGCGCACATGGCTGCAGCTGCTTACGGCTCTCTGGCTCAGTACTCCTTTTTTTTGTTTAGGTTGCTTAGTTTGTATGACTTTCTTTTTTTTTTCTGCACCATCGACTCTACTTTCAAAGTTTGCTACACCTGCCAGAGCCTCATAGACATTGGTGACCAGCATCAAACATCTGTTTCACTGGACTTCCTTCGCACGCACAACATCCCAGATCATATAGCGAGACCACCGGGCTCCCCGTGGGTTGTTATCGGGACTAAGCGGAGGCGCAGACGGAGGGAAAGGAAGCAAAAGCGGGGCCGAAGGTCCGGCATCATGCTGAGGCTAAAAAACAAACCACACAAGCCACCTCTGCCGAGCCTCTATCTCTCCAACGCTCCCCAACGGCTCAAGTTTAGGTCAAACTGAACTGAATTTAAGAAAAGCGTAGTCAAAAATGGCCTTCATGAGAGTTCCAAGCCTGTGCTGACCATGAATGACACAAAGACCAACAGAAATCGGACGCCCAAGAATTTGAAAGTGGCACTTTTTGGAACGGGCGTGTTGTTTCACAAACGGAGCCAAACACTAAAACATCGCACCAATAGGGTGGTGATAGTGTGATGGAACTGAAGCGTTGCTGCTTCAGGACCTTTACCACTTCCTGTGGTTGATGGAATTCTGCTCTAAGTCAGAAAATTCTTCAGGAGAATGTCTGACTGTTGACCTTAAACAGGTTGTTCATGCTAGAAAACCTCGTTAAGAGGCAGATTTTACAGAGTGGGACAGTCCTCCACAGCAGTGAGAGACTCATTAGCAGTTATCACAAATATCGTTGCTGAGGGTGTTAGCTTTGAGGTTTAGGGACTTCTTAGACCTGGTGGGTTTGCACACGTTTTTCTTTTATAGGTGAAATTATCATTAGAAAAAAGCAAATTACTCAGATTATCTTTGGTATTAATAACGGTTTGCTGGTCTGAAAAACTGAAATGTGACCAAAAAAAAAAAAAGTTAAGGGAACAAATAGTTTTTCACGGCTCTTTAAATTTCACGTTAAGATCCAAATGTTCACCATGATTCCCTTTCAGGCCGAATCAAACGTTGCATAACTTGTTTCATCGTGCTCCAGGAATAGACTGAAGAATTAAATAAAAGGCTCTAGTTTGCTTGGAGAAGAAACGTAAAATGCATGAGTCAGTTTTCAAAGAATAATAATCTCAGATTTGCTCACGGCGAGACACGAGGCCTGGCGGTGGTCGGCCATATTTGCCAAGCTTTCCATGCTTCTTCTCTGTGGTGATGATGTTGCTTGCCTTCGTCCCAGTCCAGACTGACTCAGACTTTCCTGTGCAGCTGAGCTTTGCCCCGGTGTCCTGACAAGACTGTCAGCATCGCGCCATGAGAAGAGGTGTTTCAGCAGACTACAAAGGTCTTTAAGTAAGGGCATCAAATTTCATGTTAAGACCAAAGGTTTGGTTGTTTTTCGTCTCAGATTTCCAACTAAAACTACACAACTTACATCAACGTAGGTCCTCAATGAACCTGGTGTTAACTCATTAACACATCAAGTGATCAAGTCTCTGGAGACTTTCAGAAGTTTCAACGAGTTCAAATACATCAGAACTTATTCACTGAGTCACTTTCAGGGAAATCGATGTTGTGACTTCATTTTTTCCACTTACTGTGCAAGTTTCTGTCCAATAGGGTGACTAATTAACCGCTTTGTTTCTGACAGCATCAGCGAGTTGTGCAATACATGCATGTGACACTTTGCATCACCTAGTAGACTCTACACATGCTGCTCTGCAAAGATTATCTTTGGAGTTACTAGTACAGGAAGTGATCGAGTCTTTGAAGTTTACCCGGCAACGATTTTAAGACTTTTTTACTGGTTGTTTTGTTGGATTTCTGAAACAAACTGAAGTGGAGTCTTTGTTAGACTCTTTACAAATATGTTCTTTATTAATCATCCTGTCAATTCCAAGGATTTGACTGGAAAAACAGGGAAGAGGTGGACGTGTAGAGCCAGAGTGATGAGGGCCCCGTCCGCTGTGGTACAGTTGGAGCAACAGCTCTTGATTTCTGGTCTGTCTAAATTCCAGCCTTCATCCCAGATTTAGACGATGAGCAAAAGAACAAAATCCCAAACGCAAGAAGCTGAAATGTGTTTCCTTTGTCTTAGAAATAAGGTTAGGAATATTTGAAGGGAGCTTAGAGCTCCTCCGCACCAAAGCGAGGCTGTTCAAGTGGCTTGGTCGTCTGGTGAGGTTTCCAGTCTCAGAATTCCACGGAAGGACGATATATGTCCTCTCTTATCTGGGAAAGAGGGAAGTTTCTGTTTCCCTCCTGGATCTGTTACCTCTGTCAGCAACGCATTACAAAGTGAAAGAAAAGTCTGAGAAGTTTGTCCGTGGATCAAGTGGCTGTTTGTAAAAGCTAACATTAACTGGCAATCGCCCCATAATCAGAAGGTTGCAGGTTCGAGCCCCGCTCAGTGTGTCGCTGCTGTTGTGTCCTTGGGCAAGACACTTGATCACCCTTGCCTGCTGGTGGTGGTCGGAGGGACCGGTGGTGCCAGCGTTCGGCAGCCTCGCCTCTGTCAGTGCGCCTCAGGGCAGCTTAGCTACATTGCTGCTCATCCCCATCAGCGTATGAATGTGTGTGTGTGAATGGGTGAATGACTGATTCTGTTGTAAAGCACTTTGGGGGGTTCCAGGACTCTAGAAGGTGCTGTATCAAATACAGGCCATGAACGATGGCTTTAATCAGGGCAATTTCATTGGGTTCACTTTCTTTGATTAAATCTTTTTGATACGTTTTTCCATGTTTTTAATCTTCAATAAGCAACAAAGAAGTAAAAGTATTTCTTCTGAGTCATTTAGTAGAAAGCAAGAACCTACAGCTTGTATCTAAATACTTTAACACGTAGTTAGTCGCCACCGCAGTCGATCACTAAAAGGATGTCGTAGGATTTAAGACGCGAGGTCTCCACTTTTTAGTCGGCAACTGTTTTATTTATGTGTAAAAAAAATCAAATCAGTGTTTACTGGAGTGTGTCTAGTTTCAGTTTAAAAGGTATTTCTATGTTCAACCAGACACTTTGTGGCCAGACGACTGGCTGTTTGGGATGTGGGGAAAATGGGATAAAAAAAAGCTGGGAAGGAGGCGAGGGGGCAGCGAGTGAAAATGGGAGGAGTGTGTCTGGGTGTGGGACTGTCATCCCACCGAGGGAAGCAGCTGTGGTGTTTTGATCAAAATCCAGCAAAAGTGGGAGAGAAAAGAGGGGTGTGAGTGTGAGAGAGAGAGAGAGAGGGGGAGAGAGAGAGAACTATTTCCACCCACCCAGCGAGGAGACACGCTCATAAACGGCAGGCAGACGGGCTGAGTGTCAGAAGGACAGGATCCGAGGACAGGGAGGCAGACAGAGACAGAGCTTCACTCACAGAAGATGTTTTATTAAAGCGAGAGGAAGAGTCGGTGCATGCAAACACACCAATAAACCCAGAGAAGCTCAACGTACTAACACTAGGAACAACAACAGGTCGCTTCTTCACCCCTTTATCACACGTGTTTACTGACTGGTGCTGGTGAGGAGTGTGTGAGTGAGTGAGTGAGTGTGTGTTTGAGTGCTGATCGACCCCAACAAGCACAGCACGCAGGAGAGGAAGGAGCCGGCGAGTGGATGGATGCCTTTTGCAGACTGAGTGGCCTGGACCCGCTGTGGGTGAGTTTATGATGCGTTCACTGACCCAGAATCACATTTCTTTATGACTTCTGGCTCAAATATTCACACTGAGACCATTTCTCTATTAGAGAGGCTGCTACAACTTATAGCTGATTTTAAAATGACATTTATCTTAAAACGTGTTTTGGTCTGGATGACAAGAATCAGATGTGATTCCTTTGTTTCCTCGCTGATGTTGTTGTGATTTTCCTTGGAAACACACATCAGAAAGGCTTTTCTGTGACAGAATGCCAATTGCAGGGATAGTATGAAAGTAGCAGGAGTTTGGCATTTATGTGCAAAGAAGCCCACCACAGCATGCATCAGCCTTGGGTTTCAGCCTGAACATGACAGCCATTGCGACCCATCGCCCCGCTCTGTGATTTAGTTCAGAGAGATGCTGAGCAGAGAGAACGGCACACACCTGAGTGAGCTGCGGTGGCTGGAAAGCTCCTGCATGTTAGCAAACCTCCACATTCTGGATCCCAGCTCAGAGAAATGGGAGGATGGCTGCGATCCAGCTGGAGTGGAATACAACCAGCTAGCACATGTCTTCCCCTCCCTCCCTCTTTTTGTTTCTGGGTCTCATTAAAGGCTACTGTGTTTGTTTTTGCTCCTGCAAAACAATGATCGTCAATCTGTTTCTGAGGAAAGTGAACCCCGCGTCATCTATCTGCTTCTCTGTAATCTGTACAGCAAACACGCCGTGTTTTTTGCGTTCGTTACGACCTCCACAGTCAGCTGGATGTCGGAACAGATGTTTTTTGTACCGCTTGGACTTCTGTGTACTTTGAGTCATTAACTGAATCAACCTTTCACATACTTTTGAAACAGGCTCGGGCCGACTCTCACAGCCTCAGGTAGTTTTTGGGAAAACACTCTGCTAAAGGTTCCAGGGAATGGTGCTCCTACTCAAACGGGAATGTGAAGAAGTCCAGATATTAGGGATTTGGGAATTCAGTCTGCACAAACTTGTGCATAGGTCCTGCACAAACTGCAGTGGTTTCTGAGAAAAATGTATAAAGATACTGCAAGAATCACGACTTGAGCCAAAGCGGCATCAAGCACGGTTTCAACATGTCACTCTTTTTTTTTATTAGTGGTCAAAAATAGTCTGTGGTTGCGACAGAAAACGGCCAAAAGGTAACTGAACTTCTGCCCTGTTTGCTCTGCAAGCACACCGTGTGGATGCTTTTAAAAAGAAGCCAGTTTAGGAGGAAAGCTGTGTTTTTACTGTAGTTTTCCACTTTAGCCCAGCCTGACCTGTAATTTGAACAACACGACAAAGTGAAACTGGCAGAAGAGTGACTGACACGTTGTGAAATAACCGTATCCTTCCTTCATACAAGCCAGACGCTCACGTTTAACTGTTTTCGCAGAACTTTGAGCAAAAACACGCGCTCATTTAAGTCATTTTTAGCACCCAAAGGCCTCCACTTTCACGTTTCTGTGCTCATCCAGCAAAAGCCAACGCCATGTAGCAGCTGCTGCACAGGTTCACTGCGACCACTTCAGCAAAGGGCGAGAAACGGGAGAAGAAATGAGCAAAACTCAGCAGGAAGTGCTTAGAGAGGGTTTGACAGTTTGGACCTATTCATAAAATCACTCTGAACATCTGACCGCAGGAGTCGGACGGGACTGTGAAAGCAGCCTCCCACTCGCTGCCTCTCCGAGATTTATCACCTAGGGGGTCTCAGTCTACGTGCAAAACTGCGTGTTCATTGCATAACCTTTGCTAAGGGCGAGTTTTCGAGATTTTGTCACCATGTGGTTAGATTAAACTAACTGTTCCAGGCTGTAAATGCTGAGTCAGTCTTTCGTGGCTCCAAAGACACCGACCAGCACCGGTTGAGGGTAAACGCTGAAGCTGAGAGCTGCAGCATCAAACCGCCTGACTCACCTGCTGCGGTTCACTCGTAGCTCTGTGGGAGGACGACTGTTACATAACCGTCCTGCAGCTGCCACCAGTTATGGCCACTCTTTCTTATCCCAGTTGGGACTCTACCAGCAGGACCAGACTTCGCTGCCATGCAGGAAGTTTTACACCACTTCCTGTGGTGACTCGGCGGGGCAGTCTCGTTAGCACAGCCAGACACCCTGCCCCTCATTAGGCAAGTGAGGTAATAAACAAGGGAAGCAAGAGAACAACAAAGCAATTATACCCCCCGTGTTTTCTTTCAAACAAAGAGAACATAACCTGGCTCCGCTACAAACCTCAGTCACTAGCGCCTCGCTACTTGTGATGCAGCTTTAAAACCTTTACAGACGTATTTTTCCACTTTTATTTGAAGATTTGTCAGAGACGTGGTCAGGCGAATCCCAAAACTGTCTCAGCTTTTGGTAAAAGAAGGCCTCTGTTGGAACTGGACACACACTCACACACACACACACCTTCTGTGGTTTCACTCCCGACTGGCTTGTAGGACCAAGTCTGGCTTCTCTCGACTTCTTGCGTTGCTCCCAGTAAAATACAAAAGCAACTTCACAGTTTGACTCTGACTCTCCTCCTGGTCTAAACATTTTATCTGTGGTTTTTTTTTTCTGATTGTTGCAGGACTGGAACCGCACGTGGTACACAGCCAACCCCGACCTAACCCAGTGCTTCCAGAACACCGTGCTGGTGTGGGTTCCCTGTATCTATTTGTGGTTGTTGGTTCCTTTCTACTGCCTTCACCTCTATTGCCATGACAACGGCCGTATTCGGATGTCCTGCCTCTGCGCGGCCAAGATGGTGAGGCTCCCCCTTCTCTGTAGTAATTTTGCATCATTTTTCAAGACATTTCTTTTACAGAACCCTTTGCTCTACAGAAGTCTAAAATGTTCCTGTTGGGTTTTAGGTTTTGGGTTTCCTACTGGCCTCGTTTGGTTTCGTTGAGTTCTTCTACATCCTGCTGGAGAGACGCCAAGACATTGAGCATCACATGGTCTTCCTACTGAGCCCCATCATTCGCAGCATGACTGTGGTGAGCTTAACTCCTTTTCGCACATCCACAACAGTCTGAATAAGATTTTGAAGCGGACAAGTTATGGAAGACTCCCTTTTTGCATGCAGCCATAATGGTCTCTATCGCCTCCATAAGCACTCCACATGAAAAAATCTCCTTCATCCATTTTCTGACGGTGCTCGGTTTTAGGAATTACATGCCCAAAACAAGCTGTTTAAAAACATTCCCGTCTGTGACATCACAAACGGGGAAATTAGCATAGGTCCACCTCTCATGTGCAGGAAAGATCTGCTACTGGAGAGATGAGCAGCTGGGGCAGCAGTAGCTCAGATGGTAGAGCGGGTTGTCCAATTATCGGAAGGTTGCAGGTTCAATCCCTGTGCAGTGCCTTGGGGGGTTGTAGAACCCAAAGGCGCTATACAAATACAGACCATTTACCATTTACTCTGAGCCCCTCCCAGTTATCGGAGCCTCTCAGCTGATAGCAGCCTGAGCAGAGAATAGGTGGGCGTGGCCAGCAACAGCTTGTTTTTTTAAAGAGACAGAGCCCTGAAACGGCTTTATAAGAGAGGGCTTTGGTGCACAGAACTTCCAAAACATGTTTGTATCAGCCAAAGAATTATAACCTTAGAGAAAAAGCCATGACATGTCTCCTCTGGACCAGCGTAACGCACGACAATCGCATTCACCCGATGTGGGTGCATCACGTGTGCAGAAAGTGTTGAGCTCAGCATGATTTGAGGCAGAAATTACACTTTTCACACCCTTACTATGTTTCTCCGGGTAAACTGGGAAGTCTTGGAAAAATGTCTTGCTTTATCCTGGTTCGCGTCACCGTGCAAAGACACGAAAGAACACACACTGTGTGTGTATGTATATTACGTTGGCCAGACACTCAGGTGCAAGGATGCATAACCAGGGGAAGGCTTATGGTGTCATGGGCAATGTAAATATTGCAGTGCCCTGTAAACACTGCACCTATTTGACAATCACTCATCAGGGTGCAGAGTACACAGGTATTGACATCAGCTGATGTTTGATGTGTGAGGAACGCGTGAGTAAAGTTCCACACACAAGGGAAACCCACACGTCTGAAGTGAAGTTTTCAGATATTTAAAAAGAAAATACAAAATATTCTTTTAAAACATCAAACTTGTTTTTTCTTGCGTGCAAAGTTTCTAAAATAGCGCAGAGTTTGTGCTAGCTAGGCAGTCGCTCTCGTAATGAGTGTTTGTGGGGACCAAGTAGGTGCTTTGGTGAATTACGTGCTTTAATGCAAAGCAAGTTCATCTGGCTTTTCTCCAGCCCTTTTGGTTTTTCTTACACACACACACCCCACCAATATGGAGCTGATGATATGCAATTGTAGTCTAATTACACAGAAAGATTGAGTCTTTTTATAGGTTACAGGTGTACAGTTGGACAGCAGGTCTCAACACCAAGTCTTTCTCTGACATTGTTAACTTCTGACCAGAACTGTACTTAAGGTGCCGCGTGTTTCACTCCAAAGAAAGACTAATAGATGGATCCAGTTTTCTCCTGACTCTGACCCCCCTGCGGCTCTAAAACAAACGTGTTAAAGGGTTGTGATCTCCATCAGTACTCGACCTCTGCAGCTTCAGAGCGTCCCCGTAAAGATCTTTAATCTCAATAATCTTCCTCATCATCTCTGGACTCGAACCACGATGAACTCGTTGACCTGCTCGTTGACCTGAGTCAGGGTGGCACGTGGGCTGGGATACACAACAATATTTATAGAAAACAGGGGCTGGTGTGCAATCAGAGAAATGTTTTGTGGAACTTGTTGATGGAAAGGACTACGAACGTTTCTCCAAACATCGATCCTACTCATTTTCAGGAGATTTGAAAGCATACTTAACTTGTATGAGTGGGTAGAGCTGGGGAGGAGTGCAGCCTAACTTGGGTGGCACGGCAAGTTAAAATGTTGTTTATCTTCGTCGAAGGAGTGATGCATGCAGAAGGGAACGGCTGTGATGGTTGTTTCGCTGCGCCGACTGTACAAAACGTTCTCTTTCTGCAGCGGCATAACGTTGCTGGTCAGTCTCTGCTAAAGCCAGACAGATTTACCCACCTGCGGTCTCCTCAGACGCCTGAGTAAACACCAGCATGCGTTTGGATAAAAGACATCTCTTGTATCGAGAGATGCGTCTCGAAAAAGATTGTTTATTTAAAGGATGTAATTTGTCACAGCAGGGGGGCCAAAACAACAGGCACCTACTAAATTAGGGAAGAGTCTAACTAATCTTTTCATTGACTTGCCACATTTATCTTTTTATTTTCTCCGATACCGCATGTTTCCTGCAGCCGTGGACCAAAGTCCTCCTGCCGCTCTGATCGATTCGTTTCCCGTCAGCTGAAGCAGAAGCACGGGAACACTTATGGTCCAGACTGAATCATGACGTCAAGCGCCCCGAGATGGTGCAGTTCCCATCTAATTATAAGGTTTAATTCAGGCCTCGGTGTTGTTGTTGGCCCCACCCACTGATTTATAGAAACAGATGGGATGATTTTTGCAACAACAGGCAAGTTGGAGCAGGAGGCAATGAGCAGGACGGTTGTTCACCTCATTGGTGACGCGGCGCTTCTTAAAAGCATGGGTCAGATCCTTTCAGATGTGTTTCTGTGAAGTTTTACATCATCGTGAGCTTCACATGGTTACTCTGGAATACCGAGGCAGGGTTGCAGCAGAAACGAGCTGCAGCTTTTTGTCAGATTTCTGCCCAAATTGCCCAAACAAAGGTGAAAAACAGCCTCTGCATGAACTACTGTGAAAAATTTGAGACACTTAGCAAAAGTGCGAATGACAATTGGATGTTTTTATTTTTAATTTATTACAAAGACAGAAATACAAGAAATGCGTGAATAATTAGAAAAATATTTGGTTTTACGTCTTTGTTTGGGTGAACCCAACACTGTAAAATCCCATAGATACGACTCTGGGTTTCGGCCTGGTTATTGTCTAATGTGTTTAAAAGTGAGTAACGTTAGGAAATAAAACTCATTTTCACTTTTCAAGCCACAATATCGAGACCTTTCTCCACAGCCAAAAGCTATTGATGCAAAATAGGTTCCAGTTTAAAACGGGACACCGGTGTGGCTCTTCCCAGAGTTCCCAGTGTGGTTCTCATCCTAAGACCTCGATCCGCTTTTCCTGCTGGCTGTGAGGAGCTGCAATGGCAAAGGGACGTCTCACTCGGCTAACCACTCAGTGGGGGAGCGATAATTGTAGCTCGCATCAATCTGCTCGAGTCTTATGAGGACAAACGGCTGTTTCCAGAAACAGAATAAGTTGTTATTTTGAGGAAACGTTGTAGAACATTTCTAAAGAAAATAAATTTACAATAATGCAAGTTGTGTTTGTTTTGACTAAAGTTCATCAAATTGCAAAGTCTCCAGCAGCAAGGGAATTCCCAGAGATACATCAGATACACATCCATCATCCATTCATCCATTTTCCTCCGCTTATCCGGGGTCGGGTGGCGGGGGCAGCAGCCCAGGGAGGTCCAGATTTCCCTCTCCCCAGCCACTTGAGCCAGCTCCTCCGGGGGAATCCCAAGGTGTTCCCTGGCCAGGTGAGAGACATAGTCCCTCCAGCGTGTCCTGGGTCTACCTTTGGGTCTCCTCGGTTGGATGTGCCAAGAAATCCTCACCAGGGAGGCGTACAGGAGACATCCTAACTAGATGCCCGAGCCACCTCAACTGGCTCCTCTCGATGTGGAGGAGCAGCGGATCTACTCCAAGCCCCTCCCGGATGACCGAGCTTCTCACCCTATCTCTAAGGGAGAGTCCAGAGTCCAGACACACTCCGAGATGCTTAAACTCCTCCACTGTGAGCAGGAACTCATCCCTGCCTGGAGAAGGCATCCCTACCCTTTTCCATGGTCTCGGATTTAGAGGAGCTGATTCTCATCTCAGCTGCTTCACACACATAAATCAAAAATAGTCCACCATGCAGAAATATTAAAATGTTTCTGTGACATTAGTTGATCCAAGAAAGATTTTTCAGCTCAGTTAAAGTAGGACAAAACAAAATGACAACTTGGTGAGCAATACCTGAAAAACAAACCAAACCTTTTACCACAAAGCAGGTGAGAAAGTAAAGAGAAAACCTTCATAGTGATGGAATATTAAACGTTTAGCTCAAAGAGGATGGAAAACATCTTTTTGGTGCTTTAGTGGGTGCTGATAGTCTGTTTTTAATCCAAGTCTGGTTGTTTTTGTGTGTTTTTTAATAAGATTCTGGTCCTATGCATCATCCAGTTGGAAAGAGTGAGAGGCTGTCGCTCCTCCGTGTTCCTTTTCTTGTTCTGGGTCCTGTCTGTTGTTTGTTCTCTGGTGCCACTCAGAGCAAAGATCCAGCTTGCCATAGATGAGGTAAGTAAAAGCTAACACCACTGCAGCATTTAAAGTAAAACACTGCTGTCAGCCACTGTTGCAAGCTCCGGTTAGGATTTAGGTGAAGGTTTGGTGCAGGGGCGGATCTACAAAATTATTTTTGGGGTGGTAGAAGAGGGGCAAACATTTTTCTAGGGTGGCAATACATATATACACACATATTTAAGCTGTATGTATATATATATATATATATATATATATATATATATATATATATATATATATATATATACAGCTGAACAGCTGAATGCAGCAGTTTCCATGTTGCTCAGCAAAACAATGTACAAATTCATCAAGATCCAAAGATTTTGCCCATTTTGATTCAATGCTGAGTACAGCCTAGCTTGATTTTTTGTTTTTTTTCTCTGCCAAAGCAGACTGCAAATAGGTCTGTTTTAGCTTGAGAGTTGAAAAACTTAGATTTTTCTTGAATTCATAGCTGCCAGCTGGGGTGGCGGCACGGGTAGCAAGGCTTTCTTTTAGGGTGGCACCCTATGCCACCCTTGTAGATCCGCCCCTGGTTTGGTGAAACAAGCTGCCTCCTTTAATGAGAAAACTACGACCTGCATCTGAGTTCATTAGGATTATAATCTGGCAGAACTGGGCTTCCGTGAACTGGATTTATTTCCCCTATCAGATTAATTTGACCTGACACATAAACATGACCCTGGATGTGAATCTGTTTGAACTCAGCGACCCTGCAGAGTCACACCAGGTCTATTCCTACCCATCGTCTAGACACGCGACTCCAGCAGCACAGCTTGAGCTACACCCTGTGACCCTGTGAGTTTTCGTCCCTCCCTCCAGTTTTAACCAAGGTGACCCAAGGTTAGCACAAAGTGTTGGAGGATGACACTGCCAATTCTGGTCAAGCCTGTGTGTTTAAGTGCTCCCTTTCTTCCTGTGTCTCCTGTCAGACATTGCAATCATTGTTCTCTGGGTAGGTTAGCGCACACAGCCCAGGGGCAGTCACATTTGCATTTCTATAAAAAACTCACTCATGCATCCATATTTCTGTTTTATCGTTCTGAGCGTGACATTCCCACACTGCTTTGGGGGGAGTAATGATGGCCCTGGGATAAATGCTGGTGAGACATGGCAGCCCAGGGTCAGACCAGAGAAACGTCAGTGCCGTGTTTATGGGCCTACACTGCTGTAAACACGGCCAGATGAAAATCCATGCATCCACACATGATGCAAAGACATTTACAGTTTAGATGCAGAAGTTTTCATTTCATACAACCACAGACGTGCACACACAGGAAGAGCAACTCCCATATTTATTTCCCCCAGCTTGTATTTCTGGGTCTCAGTTTCTTCTGCAAATAATATGTTTTATTGCAAATCCTGCTAATTGTGGGAACTTGCAATAACATCTATAAAATTATGTTTTTGTCAGTGGAATAGTTTTCTGCAGAATGTGGCTCCTTTTTTAAACTAAAACCACAAACAGAAAAGGGAACAAATAAAGAAGTTTCTGCCACAACCAGGAAAAAAGTGACGAAAGTGCATTTTATGAAACCTTTTTATTTTTATCATCATTTCACGTGCAGTATAATCTCACCTGTGGGTGGGGGTTTTACTTGTTATTTTTAAGATGATTGGTCACTCTGAGTGATGCAGGCTGAACATGAGAATAGTCTCCTACACCGATCTCCTGCAGTAGCTTCTGATAGAAAACAGACGGTGAAACTCTAGGATAGAAAATCCTGACAAATCTACGTCACACTGTCACTAACATTCATGGACTCACCCATCTGGACTCACGACGGGGAAGGCTGTTGTTGGTTTAGCGTCCAGGAAACAGCAGAGAACGTCTCTGTTAGTAGAAGCTAACTGTTAGCATTAGCAACTCCACCACACAGCAGAACTCCTCCAGGCTTGTGCTATTTATGGAGATAAAACATCAACGTTGCAGAGCAGTATCACATATCAGGAAGTCTGACTCCACATCCTGTCGTCTGAAGCTACTTCCTCCTCCAGCTGGGTTGTCCCTGCTGAAACAGGAGCGCCTGAGCTTTTCCCCCCAGAGTACGACTTATGCATCCATTCCTACTGGAGACCTCTGCAGATGCATTAAAAACAGAGTAAAGGACCTCTTTACGCTGTTTTTGTTTTGTCATCATTTTCATCGTTCTGTTCAACAATCCTCTTTTCTAAACATTATGTTTCACATACTTTCTAGTCACCAGGTGAAAATGTAATATTAAATCAAAGAATAAGTCAAAGATTTAAAAATTCTCATCAACAATCCAAGAATATGAAAAACCGGTCTCTTGGAGGTGTGACTCAGCAGCTTGTTTTCTGACTCCGTGCATATTCCTGTCATGACGTGTGTTCATCAAACAGACATGATAAAGCCTGTTACTCATTTTATCTCATTTTTGTGACACCTATGAAGACCGTAACTAGCTCACATCGCCGCTTCAGCGCTCCAAGTTGACAGAGTTCGTGTTTACGGACTCTCGGCTGTTCTTAGCCTCTTGACCTACATTTTTCTCTCACTCTCTGAGCGTTCTGACTTTGTTTGTCTCTGTGTGGCCAGAACCATTTGGACCCTCTGTATCTGCTCTCTGGGCACAACTCCACGCTATTCAGAGAAAGTCGTTTCACTGTTTACCAGCGTTGCCACTTTGAAGCGTACACATACGGCCGCACAGCAGGCCAGCTGTGGCAGTGGTGTTGACTCGGTGGCAAACAAAGCCTGCTGCCAGAACCCACAGTTTCATATGTCAAGAATAACAAGCAGCTCTTATTTTACAGCAGAAAGTCTCTGAGTGGTTAATATTGCAGCTGCTGCCTTTATTGAAAATAAGAGTGCTGGTTTGGAAAACCACAATCTGCCTGATTATAGGTACAAACTTTTACATGACTGACAGGAAGCACAATTTATTTAACAATATATTTAAATCTGCTGGGATCTCACCCTGACCCTTAGCCATTATTGTGTCTGTTATCAGTGCACAGAGGCAAGTTGGTGTTTTTGTGATCTAATGTTGTTTATCTTCTTCTATTTTATAAATGATTGAACCATTCTAACCTTTAGGGATGTAAGACAACATCAATACACAAAAATGTTACAATAGTTCATGTTATGATACTCTATCTATATTTTAAAGCAGTGCACAGATTACAATTATTTATTCATTTTGAGAATTGACATAAAAACATTAACTGGAATTTTTGTGAGGTACAACATTAGCTACTTCTGCTATGGCAACAGTTTTCCCCCATGTCCTGTTAAGCAATCAGTAAGTTCTTGCTGCAAGTGTGTGTGTGTGTGTGTGTGTGTGTGTGTGTGTGTGTGTGTGTGTGTGTGTGTGTGTGTGTGTGTGTGTGTGTGTGTGTGTGTGTGCCACCTTTTATTAGTGTTGGTAGTTTAGCAATAACGATTTTGCTTCATTTTTACATTATTTTAGACACATCTGCCGATATCATTGAGTTACAACCAGTCGGGGCCATTCTGTGTGTGTACACCAGAAATTGTCCGGCCTGCTTTACTGGAGATGCTCATGCCAAAAAGTTACGCAAAATTTTTGCGTTTTGACAGTGGAAACTGTATATAATGTATTGTGAAATTTATCATCTCCTGAGTATTGTGATATTTATCGTATCGTCTCCTCAGTATTGTGATAGTTATCGTATCGTCTCCCTGTATTGTGATATTTATCGTATCGTCTCCCTGTATTGTGATAGTTATCGTATCGTCTCCCTGTATTGTGATATTTGTCATCTCCTCAGTATTGTGATATAAATCATATTGCCAGATTCTTGCCAATACACACCACTACTGATCTTAAATTATTTAAATGGCTCTGGTTTTGATGTTTCAGTTAATTCAGAGACATTTTCTGTCACATTTTATTGTGTGCACTTAACCATGAATTGTGTCAGTGTTTGTTAAATTCAAAAGTTTGTAATCAGTGTTTTATTCCATAGGGGATCACATCCGATACTGTACGATACCTCGCCTTCTTCTCCTACTTCACCATCCAGCTGGCCCAGCTCTTCCTGTGCTGCTTCGCTGACCAGCCTCCGCAGGGAAAACCCATCTTGGAAAAGGTAGGCAGAAGTGAACGTCTCCCACTTCCGATAAAAACATGCATGAATGTCCGACACCCAGGAAGACAATAATGCTGAAGCAGCTGTTTTGTGGTTTTTGAGTTTTGTTGTCAAGGCTTTTGCCTTTTGGAGGAAATGATGTCATTCCCCTCCGCCCCTCATTCCTCTCACACATAACAACTTCCTATGACAGAAGTGTGTGTGTGTGTGTGTGTGTGTGTGTGTGTGTGTGTGTGTGTGCGTGCGTGTGTGTGTGTGTGTGTGTGTGTTTGTGTGTGTGTTTGTGTGTGTGTGTGTGCGCGCCCCCGCATGCCTTTATTATGCCTCACTCACTTGTGAGATAACATTGCAGATGCTTTGACCACACAGCAGAAAGACCATTAATCCAAACCTCACCATACCATCAGACATGAGCGTGAAACTGTCTGAAAACCCAAAATAGCTCGTTGACACCAGGCAGCTGACAGGTGAATGAAAATGAGATCCTAATCAATCAAAACAGCGTGTGATATGATGTTTTCATAAACGGCTGGATCTGGAAAAGTCCCTCACACAGTCTTGGCTGGTGGTGGGGGAGCCCTGAGGGCGCACAAGCCACAGTCTGGCGTGGCGGACGCACCCAGTGGTGTGTCCTCTGTCCTCCTCCTCTCTTCCCAGCACTCTGGTCAGAGTTCCACACAGAAGGAGAGGAAGTGGACAAAAAGCAAGAGTGACGAGAAGAGTAAACACTCGGATAAGGGGGTGGAAGGGTGGAGAAGATGTCGCGAATCCCGTGTTAAAACACAAATCTTCAGGACGTGTGTGTGTGTGTTTCCACCAGCTAGACAGTTTATGATGACACATTTCCACTCCATCTGCGCTAAACCTCGAAACGTCATCTTCACCCCGCGCCAACACACTCGTCTCTTTTTCTTCTGTTCCGTGAGAGTTCGTCTGCTCCCTACGCTGGACCACCTGAGGGTTCCTGGTTGTTTACAGACATTCATGCTCCTGAACACACACACCCCTCACAAACACATTGGTGGCCTTGTTGAGGTCCTGAAACCCTTAAAACACTTTCAGTGGTTGAGCTTTTTCCTTGGAAAACAACTCATAGTCTGGTTTTTCATCTGTCGCAGAATCCCTGTCCTGTGAGAGATGCCTCGTTCCTGTCAAAGATTCTCTTCTGGTGGTTCACTGGGTAAGATGGTTCTTTAAAACCTCTCATTTTTAGGCACGGCATGAGTCACTTGGGCCTGAGTTTGGACTTGTTTACAATTACGTTGATGATCTGGTGTGTGAGTCATCCCTCGTGCTACCTCCCCAGGCTTGTTGTGAAGGGTTATCGCACACCGCTGGAAGCAGAGGATCTCTGGACCCTGAGAGAGGAAGACACATCAAACAAGATCATCTCTGAGCTCCAGCAGAACTGGACGGCTGAATGTGCCAAACTTCAGAAGTGAGAAAGGAAGATTAATGCTCCTTTGCAACATTGCACTTAGATGTCTGATGCAGGGGCGCCTGCAGAAAATTTTGATAGGGGTGGCCAGATGGGGCCAAAGAAATGTTTGGGGTGGCACACCAAATAGGTCCTTGTGGTAACTCTGGTTGAGTTTAGTCTGTGGCGATGTGCTGCATTGCGCCTTTATTCGTTTTTATTAAAATAACACTACGTATCCAAAACATTTAACTTACATTTTACAACATTTTAGAAAAATACATTTCAGTTATTAAAAATGTTATCGCAAATTTAATTTAAATATGTATTTTTTAGGTTAATTCACCTGTTGCTGTGTTCACACAAAAAAACTATGGAGATAAAAACTTTTTTAAAATGGTGAGCAGCAGAAACGTGTATTTTTCTTTATTCTAATTATTTCTTTACTCATTAATTGTAATATTTATTTTTGTTTTACAATTATGTCTTGAATAAACAAGATCAATATTTGGTTTGACTGAACATTAATATGATTTGTTAACACTGGCTTTTCCTGGGAGGGTCAGCAATTTTCTAGGGGTGGCCATGGCCACCCTTGGCCACCCCTTGGGGGCGCCCTAGGTCTGATACGGGGAGCTTTCAAGGAACTTTTTGGAGTTCTCCTCCAGTCACAACTTTGTTTGCCAAATGTCGGCTAACGTGCGTCAGGAAGCGAGTTTTTTCTAAACCAACAGAGCAGTCCAACGTTTTAATGAGAGCATTCATGATCTTGTAAAATGTGACAATCTTCCTTTGCAAACACCTCTCAAGTTTTCATGAATTAAATTTCCATGACTTTGTTAAAAAACAGAACAAACCCCTCATGAATCTGCAGGAGAGGAAAACGTGTGCAGAACATGCAGCAGCTGCCTTTCTCGTTCCTTTGGGTTTATATTAAAGGATCTTTAATCCATCATGATTCTCTCGCTATTGTCACAGCCTGACAACCAAAGCATCAGCTGCATGTATGTTGTCTCGTGTTGTGGCTCATCGGCACGCCGCCTGATGAACTGAAGACATGAGCAGAGCCAGGTTTAACCGCTGTGATCCAAATTCAGGATTTCTCGTCTTTCTGAGTCATCCAAATAAAAACTGGCAGCAGAAAGTCTCTTGAGGACATTTGGGTCACTCCGAAAGCCGCGAGACACTTTTAAAGCCTGTTAACACGATACAGCGCTTTGAAACACTGATCATCATGTCAAAGAACAAAACTTTCCACGGCGGTTCGTAAATTCTTTTGTTCATCAGCGATGGTAAAAATAACAGCAGTTTAACCGCAGCCTGGTTGATTTTTGAAGCCTACAAGCTGCATGAATGCGTCTGACCCCGTGGTTTCTCCCTCTGCAGGCAGGAGAAAGCCCTGGCCTCGGGCGCAGCTCTGGGCAGCAGGCTGCCAGACCAGGCTCAGCTCCTCCGGAAGCTGCAGAAGGAGCAGAGCTCTGGCTTCTTCCTGCTCAGGACGCTGGCGCGCAAGTTTGGTCCCTATTTCCTGACCGGCACCTTGTGCATCATATTCCACGATGCCTTCATGTTCGCCATCCCCCAGGTGTTGAGGTAAAAGTCCAGATCTCCTGGGAGCATTGTGATGTAATCCTTGTGCGTATCAGCTTTAGATAAGCCACCAATGTGGCAAACCACGGAGAGCAGAAGACTGCAGGTTTCTATCTTAACCTTGCTGTGTTGACGAGGACACCGTTGATGTGTTTATCAGATACAACTTCAGGTCACTGCGCTGAGGCCCACAGAGTAAATTGCAGTGAACATTTGGTCTTTTGAAACCGCATTTCAGTCCAAAAATACCTGGGTGCACTGAGGGATTTGACTTAAAACAACGTGTTTTCTGCGTTTTTAAAGAAAATTAACTATTTGACTTTGAAACTTGGGCAAAAAGACCAAATTTTCCTTTGAGCTTGTAATAAAAATAGAAATCCTGGACAGGTAGGTGCTCGGATGGACGATTTCCACCAGGAATCTTCGACTCCATTAAACAAAATCAAAGCCGAAGCTGGCAGCGGTGGCAGCCGGTCACGACTGCCTCGCCAGCTGCTGCCTCGCCGTCCCACCAATCAGACTGGAATGTTGTTGTTCATGCACAGCACCGAGTGCGTGGAAGTGTTAATTACAGTCATGGAGCTGTGAGCGAGAAGGCTAGACGAGACCGCAGGCTCATGTGCTCCTAAGCAGGACAGACAGAAAAAGAGAGAGGAGACTCTGGATGCTGTCGGACCACAATAAGAGAGCCACAGGCCAAGTGTGAGTGCAGCGCGGCCACAGGCTGAGCTCTGTTGTGCAACCCGAGCGGACCGGTCCATCAGAAGCCACAGCAGGCTGCTGGTTAAAGGCTCACAGATAATATCAGGCTGGGAATAGATCACGCTGAATGAGTAAACGGTTGCTTTTTAACGTACCTGAGCACAGATGCCTTCTTTGCCCACAGCCTGCTCCTGGGTTTCATGAAGGACGCCGACGCTCCGTTGTGGAAGGGCTACTTCTACGCCACCCTGATGTTCCTACTCTCCTGCCTCCAGTCCCTCTTCAACCACCAGTACATGTACACCTGCTTCACAGTGGGCATGAGGGTGAAGACAGCCGTCATGGGCTTAGTTTACAGGAAGGTGGGTTTAAAAATGAAAAAGGCAACGGTGTCGCTCAGATGACATGAAATACGTCTCAGATGGCTAAAACAAAAGTTTTCTCTCCAGACAAACTTAAAAACAGTTCTCAGCTCTCAGCTGGGATGAGTGACGGTGTGAAGGATTTCAAATGAAACCGAAAGCTGAAATGTCTCTTTTGTTGTGGAATCCAGTCGTTGGTGATAAACAGCTCTGCCAGGAGGACTTGCACCGTGGGCGAAATCGTGAATCTGGTTTCGGCAGACACTCAGAAGCTCATGGATTTTGTGGTGTACTTCAACGCTGTCTGGCTGGCTCCAATCGAGATTGCTCTTTGTCTCTTCTTCCTCTGGCAGGTGTGTTGAATTGTAGCGTTTCCACTTCGCTGCACTCCAGCGAGCAATCTCAACGTGTCTTCTTTCACTTTTCCAGCATCTGGGCCCTTCAGCGCTGGCAGGAATCGCCACAGTCATCCTGATTTTTCCACTCAACGGGTTCATCGCCAAGAAGAGGAGCAAGCTGCAGGTAAACGCGGGAGTCCTGCAGCCCAAACATCTGGCAGGTCATGTCAGCTGGTTGAGATAGTGGCTGCGTGGGTGTTTGGCCTGGATGCTGCAGTCTATCTGTGTCCTTTTGATGTCTGGCCCATTTAATGTGTTTGAAAAACAATGACAGGAAAGGGTTGGGCAGCAGCGAAACATCATTTTTCATTTCTGTGAAAAACAACAAGCAGCTCTGCAAATTAAAACACCAGTTTAATTCAGTTTAATTCTTTGTTGTTTCCTTGTAAGAAAAATCACTAAAATGTAACGAGCAACAAATCCTCGCTGGATTAGAAAAGTTCTGTGATGTTCGGGGAGACTCCGGCAGCAGGGAGGAAAACACATGCTTCGCTTTGGTGTGGTCGTTTCTGCTTTCGCAGTTTGAGCTGACAGGAGAAAACTAAAACAGCCGTTGTCTGGTCAACAGGAGATTCAGATGAAGTTCATGGATGGACGCATCCGACTGATGAACGAGATCCTGAACGGAATAAAGATCCTGAAGTTTTATGCCTGGGAGAAGGCTTTCCTGGAGCAGGTGTTGGGATACAGAGAGAAGGAGCTGAAGGCCCTGAAGAAGTCTCAGATTCTTTATTCCATCTCCATCGCATCATTTAACTCCTCGTCATTCCTGGTGAGAACGCTGCTCGTTTTGGGGTTAGACTGGGAGTTGTGTCTCTGTCTCAGTAGATGTGAGTTGAATCAGCTATCACATTTGTCTAACTTTAAAGATTTCCAAAACACACGTCAGCTAAAGGGTTGTCAAACCAGACTGGGAACGTCCCTTTAGGATAGCAGGGCATTCCCAAAGTCATTCCAGGTTTTCCTGAGGGAGACACACGTTTTACCCAAACAATCCAATCGTTGGATGTTTTTCTCTAAACCCAAAGATCACCTTAACCCTCCCACTGTCCTAATGGGTGTGACTCCGTGAGGAAAGTTGACCATTGAGCAGGGTTGATGGTTTATCGCTTGGGTCCACGTGACAGGGGTGAGGAGTGAGCACCACCTCACCCCTGTCACGTGGACCTGCTGGACCTGACTGCAGCCTTTGACACTGTTGACCATCACCTGCTACTGGAGAGGCTGAGAGACTGGGTAGGCCTATCAGGATCTGCTCTGGAGTGGTTCTCCTCTTATCTTTCTGAGCGCTCCTTTTCTGCGGCCGTCTCCAAGTTTAGGTCCTCCACCTCCTCCCTTACCCATGGTGTCCCACAAGGTTCTGTGCTGAGGCCTCTGCTCTTCCTCCTCTATCTGCTCCCTCCTCAGCACATGCTGAGCTCTTTCAAAGGAATCTCCTACCATCTTTATGCAGATGACATCCAACTGTACATCTCCTTTAAGCCCCATGAGATGTCTAAGCTGCAGCTGTTGCACACCTGCTTAATCTATCAAAACCTGGATGCTGGGAGCTTTCTTCAGCTGAATGAAGATAAGGCTGAGATCCTCATCTGTGCCCCAGACAAGCTGGTTCCATAAGTCAGAGACTCTCTTGGTCAGCTTGCTTCCCACACCAAACCTTCTGTCAGGAATCTTGGTGTGACCTTTGACCCAGCTCTCACCCTGGATTCTCATGTCATTTCTCGTGTTCGCTCTTCCTTCTTCCATCTCAGGAGCGTTGCTAAGCTGAGTCCCATTCTGTCCCGCTCTGAACTTGAGACAGTTCTCCACACCTTCATCTCCTCACGCTTAGACTACTGTAACTCTCTTTTCACGTGTCTGAGCAGAACCTCCCTGAACCGTCTACAGGTGGTTCAGAATGCCTGTGCTCGGCTTCTGACCAAGTCCTCCAAACACACCCACATCACCCCGCTTCTCCTCCAGCTTCACTGACTGCCAGTCACCTTCAGGGTTCATTTCAAGATCCTGGTTCTGGTCTATAGGGCCTTACATGGACAAGCACCATCTTACATTGGTGATCTTCTTAGTCCCTACACCCCCAGCAGGTCCCTGAGGTCCAGTGACCAAAGCCTACTGGTTGTGCAGCACCAGGCTAAAGACCAAAGGTGACAGATCATCTGCTGCTGTGGCCCCCAGACTCTGGACCTCTCTCCCCCTGAGCCTGAGATCAGTGGACTCACTGGTCTCCTTCAAAAAGCAGCTGAAGACTCACTTGTTCAAGCTGGCTTTTGTATGACCTTCTTCACCTCTCTCTCTTTATTCTGCTCTCCCCACCTATTCCACCTTCCTCAGGATCCACTGATTTCCCTCTTTCCTATTCACTCTCTCTCTTTCTTAACATTTTTTAATCACAATTGTCTATTTTTTGCTAATTTTAAATATATTTTTAACCATTTTCTAAATTCTTTTTTTATATTTTTACAATTTTTGTTTTTGTGAAGCTCCTCGTGATTTTTATCTTGAGAGGCGCTATAGAAATGATATTTTCTTCTTCTTCCTCACGGGGTCACCCATAAAGACAGTGGGAGGGTTAAAGGCGTGGTTCACTCATTTAATCAGCGCATTTGCAGTGGTCTCCAGTAGGAATGAATGTCTTCTATGTCACACTCTGGGGAATAAAAGCTCTGGCGCACCAGTTTCAGGAACGAGAAGTGAGCCACATCAGAGCTGAGCTTCAGACGGCAGGAATTGGAGCCTTACTTCCTGATATGTGGACATCTCTCCTCTGATTGGCTAACAGCAACACAACACTGGTTTTTCAGTGTTCCACACCTTTAATGCGGTCTGCAATTCTCTGTAAAATATCCCCATTCCTCATTTTGTCCTCTTTATGCTTCGTTTATGTTTATTCCTTTAACAAATGGAGCTTAATGCAGCAAACGAGACATCTAATTCAGAACCACTGAGAGACGACGTAAGCACAGTTAGTGGTTTTCGTTCCGTTCTGGGAAACAAACAGGAAGAGGACATCACAGCAGTTTGTCTAAATATCAAAATTCTCTGTAAACTCAACAGCTTCTGTATGTTTTTTTCTGGAGATTGCCTTTGCGATGTTCGGCGTCTACGTGATGCTGGATGACAGGAATGTTCTGGATGCTCAGAAAGTGTTCGTCTCCATGGCAATCATCAACATCCTGAAGACTCCGCTTAGCCAGCTGCCGTTTGCCATCAGCACCACGATGCAGGTGGGAGATGCTCCTCTGCTGTCAGTTCTCCATCCGTGCAATGTTTTCTGTCAACGGCTTCGTTTGAAGACGATCTCTGTCTGTTGCAGGCTTTAGTTTCTCTGAGACGCCTCGGGAAGTACCTGTGCTCCGAGGAACTGAGGGCGGACAACGTCTCCAAGGCCTCTCTGAGCTCCGGTAAAACCTTCAGCTGTAGTTAAGCTCTTGCAACGTTTCAATTTAGCAAATTTGCGCTATTTTGTTCCGCGAAATCACAGCCTGCCGTGACCGATGAACGCAGCCCGCAGGAGGCTGCTGTTTCTAAGTGTGGACTACCACAGCCTTGTATGGATCATATGCACTGTCACTTCCTGGGTCCCGGGCTGACTGGTAGACGCGGGTAATTACAGGATGTTCTCGTTTAGTGGTTCGACTTAAACCACGGTACGAATTCAGACATGTGAATCATAAGGAGTTAAAAAAAACAAATACTGTACTTCTGTAAGATCTGTCAACACCTCCTGAGACCTCTTGTGAAAAAGCAGCAGATCTGTAATTTACATGATTAGACGAATTCACTAGCGATCACACCCAGACGGCCCTTTGATGAGGAACATCAAGGGGAAACTTTTCTTCTCTGTTTGACACAACTTGCCCTTTGTTAGTAGTTTCCATCGCAGGTTTTGTTCATTTCAGGCTATTTTCTTTACCTTGTTTAGAGGGTGAAGATGTGATTGTGGACAACGGCACTTTCAGCTGGGCTGCAGAAGGCCCTCCGTGTCTCAAAAGGTGGGAATCAAAACCTCAGAGTAAAGGAACCAAAAGCGAGGCTGAAAATCTGCAGCAGAATCACTCGTTGGGTTTGTTTTTGACAGGATCAACGTGCGTGTGCCACGAGGTTCCCTTGTTGCTGTGGTCGGGCACGTCGGCAGCGGAAAGTCCTCGTTGTTGTCCGCCATGCTTGGTGAAACGGAGAAGCGAAGCGGTCAGGTCACCGTCAAGGTGCACAGCTAATGTTCCACACGAGACCCGCTCGGAGGGTGTGGTTTTAATGAATACTGACAGCTTCTCGCTTCTCCCTGGGCATCGTGCAGGGCTCGGTGGCGTACGTGCCCCAGCAGGCCTGGATTCAGAACGCCACCGTCCAGGACAACGTTCTGTTTGGCCGCGAGAAGCAGAAAACTTGGTACCAACGCGTGTTGGAGGCATGCGCCCTGCTGCCTGACCTGGACATCCTACCCGCTGGAGATGCTACAGAAATCGGAGAGAAGGTACGAATGATCTCAGGAGTTTTCGAGAACCGAGTGTTTTTCTAGATGTTTATTATCTTTTTCTCCCGCAGGGCCTTAACCTCTCGGGCGGGCAGAAGCAGCGGGTGAGTCTGGCCCGAGCCGTCTACAGAAAAGCTGACGTGTACCTGCTGGATGATCCTCTGTCTGCCGTCGATGCTCATGTGGGTCAGCACATCTTCGACAAAGTCATCGGGCCTAAAGGAGTCCTTAGAGGCAAAGTGAGTTCCTGAAAAGCAGCCGAGTCCGCCTCGCTACAGTTTAAACCTCGTTCTGCACAGTTGTCGTAACGACAGAGCCGATACTTAAAGCTCGGGTTGATGTTGTGTCGCAGACCCGCGTCCTGGTGACCCACGGCACGAGCTTCCTGCCCCAGGCCGACCTCATCCTGGTTCTGGTGGAGGGAGAAATCACGGAGAGCGGCTCCTACCAGGAGCTGCTCAGCAGACACGGAGCTTTTGCTGACTTCATCCACACGTTTGCGAGCACAGAGAAAAAGGAGAGTTCCATACAGAGAGGTGAGGAAGCGCTTTAGGAATAGATTATGGATTATGTGGTTGAGACGGTGGCTGAAAGTCTTTAATCTCGTTGTTCTTTAGCTGGTTCCAGGAGGTCCAACGCTCGACTCAGCATAGTTGACTTCATGCCGTTCTCCAGAGATCTGTCACAGGAGCAGCTCATTGGGTAAGTGAGCAACAGAAGTACAACAGGACCCTAGCATCTTTAAACAAAGTTAACCTCTGACCCTTCCTTACTGTCCAGGGGCGACACCACTAACACTAACCTGCAAAGCATGGAGCCCGTGACTGAAATGGACCAGGAGCAGGTACCAGAGGACTTGGGGAAGCTGACGGAGGCGGACAAGGCTCACACTGGACGAGTAAGTCCCACAGAGCGCTGCCAAACCCACCGGATCACTGGGTCTGACCCGTACTCACTGTGCTGTTTCCTCACAGGTGAGGCTGGAGATGTACAAGAAGTACTTCAAGACCATCGGCCTGGCCATCATCATCCTCATCGTCTTCCTGTACGCCTTCCAGCAGGGCGCCTCCCTGGCCTACAACTATTGGCTCAGCATGTGGGCCGATGACCCGGTTGTCAACGGCACCCAGCTCGACACGGATCTCAAACTGGCTGTTTTTGGAGCTCTGGGATTTGCACAAGGTCAGCTGGTGGATTTTAAAACTCACACTCAGACCAAACTGATGAACTAGAATGGGTAATGATGACACTGACTGGACATCTCTCCCATCGCTTCAGGTATCGCCATCTTCGGTACGACTGTTGCCATCTCCATCTGCGGCATCATCGCGTCTCGCCAGCTGCACATGGATCTGCTGGTCAACGTCCTCCGATCGCCCATGTCGTTTTTCGAGTGCACGCCTAGTGGGAACCTCCTGAACCGCTTTGCTAAGGAGATCGACGCCATTGACTGCATGGTCCCTGATGGCTTGAAGATGATGCTGAGCTACGTCTTTAAACTCATGGAGGTCTGCATCATCGTGCTGATGGCGACGCCCTTTGCAGCTGTGATCATCCTGCCTCTCGCTTTTCTCTACGCCTTTGTCCAGGTAGACCTTCCCCCCCGGCTATTGTTGGTGTGTGTCAGCGCAACACTCCAACCTGTCGCCGTGTGCTCTGCTCCCAACTCGCTGACGTTAACACACTTAGAGCTGAAATTACGGGAAAGCCCTCAGTGCTCCTTTTTGTTAAAGCTGCTCTTTTACTTTTCCACTGTGGGCCGCAGAGCTTCTACGTCGCCACATCCTGTCAGCTACGCAGGCTGGAAGCCGTGAGCCGCTCGCCCATTTACACCCACTTCAATGAGACGGTGCAGGGCGCCAGCGTGATCCGGGCCTTCGGAGAGCAGTCCAGGTTCATACTGCAGGCCAACAAAAGGGTCGACTTCAATCAGACCTCCTACTTTCCTCGATTCGTCGCCACTCGGTGAGCTGACGCTGTTAGAAATGAGAAGATTGTAAATCATGGAGGTTTTACGTCTTTATGTTGGGTTTATTTTACCAAGGACTCATTATGAACCTTTACTGACTCACTTTATTATATCGTCTGAAGGTGGCTGGCCGTCAATCTGGAGTTTGTTGGAAACGTTGTGGTCCTGGCTGCTGCCATTCTGTCTGTGATGGGGAGAAGCACCCTGAGTCCAGGCATCGTTGGTCTGGCTGTGTCACACTCCCTCCAGGTGCGGTATTCTACCCACGTACACACACACACACACACACACACACACACACACACGAGCATGGCCTAAAGCAGCTTAAATATTGAAACAAATGCTTTTGCAGGTGACTGGAATCCTGAGCTGGATTGTACGATCCTGGACTGACGTGGAAAACAACATTGTGTCAGTGGAGAGGGTTAACGAGTACTCTGATACTCCCAAAGAGGTTGGTCCTCTCTACACACACACACACACACACACACACACACGCACACTGCCACACATTCAGAAGAGCCTTTCCCGTCATTCACGCATCATTTGTTATTGCCTCACACAGGCCAGCTGGAACACAGAAGGCACCCCCTTACCCCTGGCCTGGCCCCAGAGCGGCACCATAGAGTTCCAGGACTATGGGCTGCAGTATCGGAAAGGCCTTGAGCTCGCTCTGAAAGGCATCACGCTGAATGTTGACAAAAGAGAGAAGGTGATTCACCTTGTGGAACAAAAACACAAAGTTCTTGCCATTATTACAATGTCTGAACACTGAAATGACAGGATGACCTCATGCAACCAGAGAAACATTACTTGTTATATATGTTGTGTGTCTGTGTGTGTGTCTGTGTGTGTGTGTGCGTGCGTGCGTGCATGGAGGATGGCTGCTTATACTGAGCCAGGATCCTCTGGAGGTTTCTTCCTGTTAAAAGGGAGTTTTCCTCTCCACTGTCGCTGCATGCTTGCTTAGTATGAGGATTGCTGTAAAGACTCTGACACTAGTCAGTGACTCGATGCAACCTGCTGGGCTCCTAATATAGGATACTTGTTACTGATTGGCTTAATGACCTGACCTGTACTGGAATGTCTACTATGTGAAGGTCCTTGAGACGACTCTTGTCGTGATTTGGCGCTTTAGAAATAAACTTGAATTGAAAAACCTCGTTTTCCATTTTAAGGTCGGAATTGTGGGAAGAACAGGAGCTGGGAAGTCCTCGCTCGCACTGGGAATCTTCAGGATCCTGGAGGCAGCAAAAGGAAAAATCTTCATAGATGGAGTGAATATTGCTGACATCGGACTTCATGACCTGAGATCACGGGTCACTATCATTCCTCAGGTGCGGTAGGAACAGAAACGGAGCTGGGTTTTTTAAAGATAAACTTCGCACAGCGATGCAAAACGAGCCGTTTACGGCTGAATAATAACTGTTGTTCCTGTGTTTTGATGAGGAATATTTCCCCTGCTCTCTCACAGGATCCCATTCTGTTCTCGGGCTCACTCAGGATGAACCTTGACCCCTTTGACACGTACACAGACGAAGAAATTTGGAGTTCACTCGAGCTCGCTCACCTCAAAACCTTTGTGTCTAATCTGCCTGACAAGCTCAGCTATGAATGCTCAGAGGGAGGCGAAAACCTCAGGTACACAGCCGTTCACGCGTTGCAGAGCTGATGGACTCGCTCGCCATCGTTTCCCTTGTCAGCCACGAATAAGCTGTCATGAAGAGATCTGGTGTGTGATTGTGTCCTTCCCTTCCTCCCCCCTGTCTGTGTAGTCTGGGTCAGCGCCAGCTCGTGTGCCTAGCCAGGGCCTTGCTGAGGAAAACCAAGATCCTGGTTCTGGATGAAGCGACAGCTGCTGTGGACCTGGAGACGGACACACTCATCCAGTCGACAATCCGCACACAGTTTGAGGACTGCACCGTCCTGACCATTGCTCACCGCCTGAACACCATCATGGACTACACAAGGTACCGCAGCCCATCGTTCACGAAGCATTACGTGATATACAGAACAATGAAACATAATATTTTAGTATTACTCTGACTATTTTTGATTTATGTTGTTTCAATATTTAAAGTTTTTGCTCAGAGGGCACCATCTAGAGGCAAATATTGTTTAATGCACCTCAAACCCCTTTCCTTGCGTGATTTAAGGTTTCTATCGTATTTTAATGATTATGTCTGATTCTAACGGGTCACTCTGAGCGTTTCATGCAGGCTGAACATGAAAATAGTCTCCTACACCCATCTCCTGCAGCAGCTTCTGATAGAAAACAGACGGTGAAACTCTCAGAAAAGCCTGACAGAACAAACGAGCATCACCGTGCTAGAGTCGTGTTGCTGTCAACCAATCATTGTCATGCTGGGTGGCAATTTCTTGACCCACGACATGCAGAATCACTTCACAGAAACAGGCAAGTGTGTAAAAATGTTTATTTTTAAATGAGGAGCTAAAGGAGAGACGGGAACCGAAGATGCTCAGTACTGGCAGCAGGATTCCAGGAGGAGGTTCTGAGGAGGGAGACAGAGTGAATATCCGGTGGAATAATGGAGATTTTATCTTGAGGCTGAGCTTACAGTTTCTTGGTAGCGGTGAAATGTACAGGGAGGGTTTTTGTCAGGTCCAGGTGAGCAGAGGAGATCCAGAAGGTGAGAACTGATTTATCCAGAGATGTAGGAGAGGAGGTTGATGAGGACAGGTGAGCGGCTGAGAGCGGGCGGCCAGGGGAGGAGGCAGTGTGGTCTGGAGGGCAGGAGTCCGGGTTGGTTCTGGAGATGACGGAATGTGGAGAGAAGCCTGAAGGAGAGCAGGGAAGGACATTCAGGGATTTTTCCGGCGGCAGGTTAACTGGAACGGGATACAAGTACGAGACAGGTTAGAGACTAGAGCTACCCAAACAGAGCAATCATTGTACAATGATTTGAGAAGGTCCCTGTTTGAAAAGATCCAGCATAAAAATCCAGATTTGTTCTGGTTATAAGAAGGTGATATGTTAAAGAGCAAGTCGCCCATAAATCAACTTATTTTTTCTGATAAACTATATAAATGTGTGTCTAATCGTGCTGCAGACACGTGTAGTCAATAGTTTAGCACTTTAGTGCATTTTAGTTCAAATGTTAATTTTCTGCCTAAAACTGTCAGTGTTGTGCCGTTGTCAGGTAAAAACTCTGCAGTTGAATTTAAATCTGCCATCGCTATTGGCTAAGAGGTGCCTTAGAAAGTTAGCTGGTACCATATGATGTCACAATGTCGTTGTGAGCCTGTGTGTGTATTTGTTAGTGGCTCCGCCCTCTCGGTCTGCCAGGCAACAGCATTTGTTGCATTTTTCAAACAGGAAGTGGGAGTGGAGCAAGACTCTGGTAGGGGGTGACTTGCTCTTTAAGTTGGCTTTTTAACAAAGGAACTGTTGTCCTGGTTAAAATTAAAGAAAGAGCTTGCCTATGGAGACGATCTGGACTTTATCCTGTCGCGTGAGCTCTTGTTTTGTAAATGTACGGCCATCTATGGTTTTATTGTTTGTTTACGGTGTCGTATAAGCCCGTGGGGCTGGGCACATGTTGTGCATGACAATTTAAGTAAAATTTATCTAACAACGAGAAATGAGAAACCACCCACAGCTTCTATACAAGAGTCCACAATACACACAGTAATGTTTACCAGTGATGCACATCAAAGGTTCTGGAGCACTATATCAGTGTTTTATTATTATTATTTAGCTCATCCAGCTAAAAAAAAGGGCAAAACTAATTTTCTCAGTGCATTTTGTACCCCATTTTTATCCAGATGCAGGAGCTGATAGCTGATGAGTTTAGTGGTAAGAATAAAAGCTGACAAGGCAATGAAAATGAAAAGTTAAATACTTCAAAGACAAAAAGTGATTTCCAAGAAAAACTTAAATTTTTAAGGGGAAAATCCTAAAATACGATATTAATGCATCTGTTTAATATAGGATTTGAGCCTTGTTTAAAAAAAATACCTTTTTACCAAATATCTCATCTACACATCCCAGTAAACCTGAAACCTAGGCATCACCGCTTAGGCAAACTGCACCTAAAGCCTGTTTTTATTCGCTGTGTTGCAGAGTGATCGTCATGGACAGAGGCAACGTTTGTGAGATGGACTCTCCGGCCAACCTCATCTCACAGCGAGGACAGTTTTACAGGATGTGCCTTGAAGCGGGGCTGGTCTAGCTCTCTTAAATGGGGCTTGAATCAGAGGACTGGGGATCTGCTGTACAGATGTGGCACCTTTTCCACGTGTGGCTCGTCAACACATATTAAGTTGGGCTCTTTTGAGCTTTTGAGGCGTCCCAAAACTCTCTCCGTGAGGGCATTGTTGAGGAATTTCAAGAGCAGCTGCTGACGCATGACTTTTATTGAAAAACACACAAAGACACCTTGTCCTCGTGCAGGAAAAGACACTTCGGAAGATGAACACTCAAAAATGAAGCTATGGTTTAATGTTGAGTCTTAAAGCTACAAATGTAAATAGAGCAATGAAGTCATGTTTTCTGTAAAGGCTAAGAACTACAAGAGATCCACAAATCTCTTTAGGGACGGACGTTGTTTTATTTTTACAGTTTTTGTGTGTATTTGTCGATAAAGCACGGTGCATTTTCTGATGTTGTCTCAGGCTTAGACATGTTTACTTACACTTTTTAGCCTTGTACACAAAAAAAAGAGGCACTTTTATACTTGCAAATTGATAGAAGTCTATTTTTATTCTCATCCCAAAAATTGGGACATGAAATATTCTGACACAAAAACCTTGAAAGGTTCATGCTGGTGAATTCAGGGAAAATGTGTGTGTGTGTGTGTGTTTTTTTTAATGCAGACTTTTAAAATTTGAACACGAGGCCATTTTTAAATGTCAGGGAGGTGGAGGAAAACATTGAAGTAAGCCAAGACATTAGCAATCGTCCAACTATGTTGTGGCTATTGTTTATTTCTGTCAAAGTAAACACATAAAAAAGTCAATGGAGACGTTGCTGGTCAGCTTTAACCTGACACCGGTAGTGAAAACCACCATGAATGAGGAGAACGCCTCTTAAAAACAATGGTGATAAATCTCTACGGGATTGTCTCTGCGCCTTCACCACACAATCTCAGGCCATACCATAGACAGAGAGGAGAAAAAATCTGTATTTTTCTTATGGTGTTGACATGACAGACTGTAAATAGTCCACATGAAGCTTTAGTGTCAATTCAGAGAAAGAACTCTATGAACTTTCTGGAGAGGGGGAGTGTTTACTGTTTTTGTCTTACTGGTTTAGACAATATATTTTAAGAGAAACCCAAGTGTTTATTTATGTCTTTATGACAAAATGTATTAAATGTCCTTGAAATTCTGAGGATTATATTTATACTTTTTATAACAAGCTTGATTATTTTCACTGACCTTTGACGTTAATGTACTGTCTTGATCAATGCTGGAAAATAAAGTGTATTTGAATCTGTGGTTATTTTTGATTTTGAGTCATTTAGTTTATAGAATTGGTCAAATTCATTGTTTTTTATACAGATAAGTTTCAATAAGTCTGAAGTTGGTTAAGTTTTAAAGTGTTCTGTGCAGTCAAAGGCTCCAGAAAAATGTCTGAACAGACTCATGAGCCCAAAGGATCAAAGGGGGCACTGCTATTCCAATAATACATTTATTTTAAATTGCATGCACACGAATGGGCTCATAAAGAAGACATGAAGAGAAGCAGAAACATAAGACAAATGCGTTGGAGGGAAATTTCTCCAAAACATTTTACAGCGAGACACTGAAGTGATTCCACTCAGCAGACAAATGAGATTAAAAGTCATAAAAACGACCTTCAAAACTTGGCTGTTACAAGTAAAGACAAAAATAAGACAAAGAGTAAAAGAGATCATAAATACCGCAGGAAGTTGCAAAATACCTGATGAAATCCTAACTAATTAAGCCCAAAGTTCATTCTGAATATATGGGTGAACGTTCTTACCTGAAAAGGTGAGGTGCACCAACTTCTACTTCTCAGACTCTGCAGGTAAAGCTATGAAATGTTTGGAGGAAAACAAACACCTGTTTGGAGGCGTTGGGGGCCATTGAGGTTGTAGTTTCAACAAGCAGCCGCTAGATGGAAGACGTTAGCCCATAAACGGATTGTTTACATCACTTGTTGCAATGGCGACCATGTCTGAGTTAAAGAGTGGTAAGAGCTCACTCACTATATCGTTTTTCTTTCCTCAATCAAAAATCTTTACACAATTTCGCTTTATATTATGATAAATTTGTCAACGTTTTAGCTAACAACACAGCGTCTTCCAGCAATCTCCCATAATACAAATGTGCTAAATAAGTGGAAATGATTTTTCAGAAAAGCACACTTGCTCAATGTTTCCTGGGTTTTTATGTATTAGAATGTGCGTTTCATTCGTTAAAGCTAAATAAGACGTTTTAAACTATTTCAGCTTAGCTCGTGTTTCTTTTTGTCCACTAGCTGATGTTGGATACCCACAAGCTAGCCAGATTAGCTAGATTAGCTAGCTGGTTGTGGGGATAATAATACAACGGAAAAGTAAAAGTTGTTACATTCTATGACGATTGAAACTGTGGGTATTTTAGAGGTATGGACAATAGTATGAGCTATATTATAAAAGATTTAGCCTAAAAATCTTTAAGTAAATGTGAAATTCACATATAATTGAGTGAGGTTTGGTGTGTTGCTAAGATACATGATCTTTGGGGTTTACAAGCGACTCCCCCACACACGTACTCCTTACCATTGGCTGCCTGCTAAATTAATGTGTTATAATACAGATGTTTTATTGTTTTCAGCCGTGAGGGAAACCCTGGAGTCACGTGGCGTGCTGGGTCAGCTGAAGGCTCGTATCCGGGCGGAAGTGTTCAGCGCCCTGGATGACCAGCGTGAACCGCGGCCTCCTCTGTCTCACGAAAACCTGCTCATTAACGAACTCATCCGGGAGTACCTGGAGTTCAACAAGTACAGGTACACAGCGTCAGTGCTGACAGCAGGTGTGTGAATCAATTAGTCACCTTTTATATGGCAGCAGTATACGTTTAAATGTAAACAAATGCTCTCCAGGTCAAGACTGATCACTTATGATGAAGATAAATGACCTGCACTTGTAGAGCGCTTTTCAGAGTCAGAGGACTCTAAAGCAATTTCCACAACAGTGTATCATTCATCCATTCACACACGGATGGTGATGAGCTACACTGTAGCCACAGCTGCCTTGATGCAGAAAAAGGCTTTGGTACCATTTCAGATCCCACGGTGTGTCAGTGGGACAGCAGTAGCTCAACAGGTTGAGCAGGTTGTCCAGTAATCTGAAGGTTGCAGGATCAATCCCGGCTCCGGTCAGAGAATTTTGCTGTTGTGTCCTTGGGCAAGACACTTAACCCACCTTGCCTGCTGGTGGTGGTCGGAGGGACCCGTGGCGCCTGTGCTCGGCAGCCTCGCCTCTGTCAGTGCGCCCCAGGGCAGCTGTGGCTACATCGCAGCTCATCACCATCAGTGTGTGAATGGATGAATGATACACTGTAGTGTAAAGCGCTTTGGAGTCCTTACTCTGAGAGGCGCTATACAAGTGCAGGTCATTTATCAGTATCAGTGTAACCACCCAGAGGACTTCTTCTCAGCATCGTTTGTTTTCTCAGAGTCGGGCCAGCCCGAGGCTTCCTTGGACAGACAGTTTCTGGCCAATGAGATGAAAATCACCGAGGATCCCAGCTCTAAGACAGTGTAAGTGTCAGGAGTGGGAAAATCCCAGCACAGTCTGGTGTTGATAACAGTGTTCAGTGATTTACCGAACGCTTGTGTTTAACCAGTGTGGCGATCATTGTTTTGTAATGACATAGTCATTTTGAATGGTTGTCTCTGATTGTGTAAAATATGACACGTGTTAGTGTTTTGCTTTCACCTCGTCACCATAAAAAAACTGAGAAAAACTGGGAAACAAGCAACAGGCTCAGTTCCTGCCTGAGAAAAATAAAAATGTGTCAATGTGCTTTCATATTTCCTTGCAGGCCTCTTCTCTATGGATTGGTGTCTCACTTTCTGAATAGTGGTGATAACAGAGGGAAGGTTCTTCTTCGTGGTCCTGCTGTGACTAACGCAGCTCCTGGACATGATGCGTGACATGTGGGGGATGTTCTGGTGACTTGCGATGCTTCTGGACTGAATCAGGCTTTGTTTGGCTCTTATGTAGAGAATAAGAAATCCCACAGAATCGGACTGAACTCGGCTTGTTGTCTGTCGCTGGTATTATTCCACAAAGCCTCAGTGAAGTGTGAAATCCAGGGACAATAAAGTGTGGCCATATTTGTTGTCTTTTTATACTGTTGATAATAAAAGTTTTTATTTATACCCTTTACGAATCTGTGAAAGTGTTTTTTTACACCACAAGATGGCAGTGTCTGCCCAACAAAAGCTAAATCTGGTCAAGCGACGCCTATTCAGTTTGTAGGATGAATGCAGCTTTAATTCCTTTCAAATTTCTAAAACTGATTGATTTTAAGACTTTTTGTCCTTTGCACTTGCATTGGTTTATTCTTTTGTTTGATTTTATAAAAATGTCCTCATGAAGGGGATCCGTTTTGATGGCCTGAAGATCAGGCCTCTGCTTTTTGCAGATGATGTGAACCTGCTGGTTTCATAAGGCTGTGATCTCCAACTTTCACTGGAGCGGTGTGAAGCAGCTGGGATGAGAATGCACTCCTCGAAACCCGAGACCAGGGTCTTGAGTCGGAAAAGGGTAGAATGCCTTCTCCAGGTCAGAGACGAGTTCCTGTTCCGAGTGGAGAAGTTTAAGCATCTTGGGGTCTTGTTCACGAGTGAGGGAGAGATGAAACGCGAGATCGACAAGCGGCCAAAATGAGTTTTCTCCGCCGGGTGACTGGGCTCTCCCTGAGAGATCGGGTGAGAAGCTCGGTGATCCAGGAGGGGCTCGGAGTAGACCCGCTGCTCCTCCACATTGAGAGGAGCCAGGTGAGGTGGCTCGGGCATCTAGTCAGGACGCCTCCCTGGAGAGGCACGTCCAGCTGGGAGGAGACCCAAGGGAAGACCCAGGACACGCTGGAGGGACTATGTCTCTTGGCTGGCAAGGGAACACCTAAGGATTCCCCTGGAGGAGCTGGCCCAAGTGGCTGGGGAGAGGGAAGTCTGGGCCTCCCTGCTTAAGCTGTTGGCCCCAGGAACTGACGTTGGATAAGTGGAGAAAAATGGGCGGGCCTCGTCACCATTAGGATGTTTAGTCTCACGTTGCAGATAAATCTCTTGCTCATTAATCATCACCCTGACCCATCAGCACAGCTACTCTACTGAGGGATACTAGTGTTCCCACGTAAACAAATGCTTCACATTGATTCTGATCGTCAGCATTTCCCTTCAAGCTTGAGTGACAGCTGCATAAACGCGTCCTTCCCTGCAGCAGAGAGAAGTCATGTTTACCCCTGGGCTCAGATCAGGATGCGATCGCATTCCAGGAGGGTCAGATGTATCCATAAACATGTAATCGCTCCAACAGACATCCATCTATGGACATGAAGGAGAAGACAATGAAACTAGGAGAAATGTGCTGTTTGTAAAAGGTTTCTTCGTGTTGCTCCACGTATAAAACTCTTACTATCAGCTCATTTAGTTTGAATAAATGCAAATGGGCATGATTTAGTTTACTTTACTTTATTTGACTGTTTTATGAGGCCTGAAGCTGGAACTGTACCAGTGGGACTGGCCCACTACTGCTTTTTAACGCTCACTCCCACCGTCTCCTCATAACTTCACAAACGTTTCCTAGCTTTGAGGAACTGGTTGAACCTTTTCTCTGGTTCATACTTAGGTATGGAAAACGTCCAGCCAAAGTCAACACACACGTCTCCTCGCTGGCGTCCCGGATCGATCACGGTTATAATAGTATTGGAACAGCTATTTTCATGGATCACGTTTGTCTCATTTCTGTATCTCGTCTGCAATCAGTTCATCAGATCCTTCATTCTTTCACGTTCCTTTCTCATCCCAACGGCTGCCAGATTCACCTGCCACTGCTCAGCGCTTGTAAATAATAAGAGTTATTCCCGCAGGGACAACTTTGTTTGAACAATGCCGTTGCTGTTGGACCATATTTAGTCACCGAGGCCCGGTGTTGTTGCTTGTAGACTCTGAGAGTAACACAAAGCGGCTGAGATTCCACTCTCCTTATATGGAACCCACTTCAGCCTCGCCACTGCTTTCTTTTCCTCCTCCTCCTCCTCCATCCTGCCTCATCTGAGTTCTTCAACCTGAGCACCTCCCTCAGGAGCAACGCTCCACCTCCGTGGTGCTGATCAGAGCGAGCCTGAGGGTCCATCGTTCTGGTCTTTGGTCTGTCACCAGGTTTCACGCACCAGTGCAGCATTCTGCCTCTGGCACAAAACAGGCCACAGCTATCAAGCAGCAGCTTGATTTACTGGAGCAAACAGGACCGTGTCCATATATAGGAAGTTCCATTGGGAAGAAGCTGGAGGGATGCAGCGAACACGGAGGGGGGAGGCCATTTGTGATGCTGGAATGTGCTGTGAATAGAAAACAGATATAGGATGCACACGTACACATAAGGAGAATGAAAACTGAATTGGTGTGAGGGAGGAGAACTCTGCAGGTTTACAGTAAAAGGTGATCCATGTGTTTCCCTTAAGAGGAGCGGGTCACAGACCCTTATGGGACTCAAGATCACAGGCATCACATTTCATTGTGTCTCCGTTTAATAGGCTTTGTTTCCATGTCATTCACTTTGAGAACTTGCGCTTTAAATCGAAGCAACAGCCGTTCCGATCCAAACGATTTTTCATGCCAACAATTAAAGAAATCGTTTTTAAAAAGGCCCATCATCCATCTGAAGCTCTGGGAGGGAACTGGTTACAATTGCACGAGATGGATTTCTTATCTAAAAGGTTCAAGTTAAAAAGTATTAGCTTCAGTAATTTCCTAAACTGTGAAATAAAAAAAGCTTGGTCTGCATCAGGCGTGTCCTAAGTGCGGCTGGGGCCTTTCGTGAACCTTGGAGAGATTAATTGTGGCCCCCACTTGTGTTTCTAGAATCATTAATTTTATCTCTCCAACAAGGTGTGGATGTAGAGAGATCATTTCCAACGTTTTTATGTTTAGATCTGAACTAATATGCCTTTTTTGAAACTATTGTGAGGAATACACATGGTAAAAAATCACTATATAAATAAATATTGCATTTCTTACATTTAAAAACATTTTTGGGCTGATTAGTGACTTGATGATTTTGGCACACATGACTTTGGACTAGGCATCACCATTAATGACTGATTGTTTTAAACAAAAATATGTTTTACTAAATTCTTTGCTGTGAAATTTCAACTGAGAACATTGAAAATAAATGTATGCTTTAAAAAAAGCATTTTTGTCAAATAAAAACACAAAGTACAGTCAATCTAAAACCTATAGCTGTTTCCCAAATGAAATGAAAATATCTTCAGTGATCAATAAAAGTGGATTTAATGAAAAAAAGAAGAAGCCAAAACTCAGTTGGTTTATTTAAATTTTGATGTCACATAAAGACATATACAAATGTTCACATCTTAAATAAAAATGTGACGTTTTCCTCTAAAAGCATAAGATTATGTGGGGAAACATTAGCACATTTTTTATTTATCAGCTTTCCTATCCGTTTGATTTTAAGTTGCTCGTTATTGTTTTTGTGTCTTTTTTAAATTAAAAAAAATAATTCCGGTGTTAAAATGTGAGTTTTTACAGTTTCTGTCACTTTATCATCAGCAGCACTTCTCCCTCTCTACCCTTGGCCCCATTGCGCATGCGCGCTGCCTCTCGCGCTCGCAACGTGATGCTGAATGAATCCGAGCGCGTGCGGCTCCACCCACGAGAGTCTGTGGGCAGTTTAAATGACTGGGCTTTTAAATTCACGAGGGTCACTTTTGGACTGTTTGTCCTGGGAGTACCTCGTCGGCGCCACTTTCTCCAAATCCCTACTTTTCTAATCTGAACCTCCATCTGAGCACACGTTTCTTCGTATCAGTGAGTTTTTATTTACTTATTTTTGTGGGGAGAAGTGTGAAAAAGCGCGAAATACACCTGCTACAGTTTAGCTAACTTTTAGCTGACTGGTTCTGGCTGGCTTTGCCGTTTTGCCTTATTTTTATTCACGTATTTAAAAACCGTAGCTGATTAATACAGATAATTAGTTGTATTAACGTAACTTTTACTGTTTAGCCTCTTTAAATTAACTTGGTTAGGTCTTATATGGACGTCTAGCCTTATTATTTGTGTTTTATCCACTATAAATGAAAAGTAACCCACTTTTTCTCGAGATATAGACAATAAAATGGGCTAGTCTTTGTAATGTGTGTATGGTTAAGATAGAATAAAAGTGGAACGGCTGCAGAGCAGTGATGCAGGAGCAAAAGGAAGTTAAGTCCTCCTATCAAAGTAAGAGCATGCCCAATGGTGTTTCCTGTTTTCCAAATATGGTTGTATTAAGTTGCATGTTTGTCAGACAACTTTGTCGTAAAAGGAAGATTGTCAAGACAAGTGTAAGACAGTTTTGCGTAAGATGATGGTAAATTATTATGTTCTGTTTGTTTGCCCCTTTTTGAAAAATTACTTCATACCAACAAAATTAAGAATCGAGGGTTTTTATTCAACATTTCTTTGCATTTGCTGTCATTTTCTGACAGTTAATGTGTAGATCAGGTTTTAGCCAGCATAAAGGGCTTAGGGAGAGGAAACATAATGTTTTTTATGCTTTATGAAATGCATTACCGTCTGGAGGATTGTGGGATGTCACAGGAAGAGGGGTTGTGAAACTTTTCAGATGGGAAATGAAAAAACCTCATTTTCTGACCCTGCAGGTTACAAAATGGAAAGGTCACTGACTCCATTTTCACTCGTTACTGTGTGTTTAACCCAAACAGAGTTTCCCTTTGTGTCCTCCTTGGGGCTTGATATTAGACAGAATCAAACCTTGATTTTAGTTTTTACACTACGTGATGCAAGACGAGGAGCTGACATCCAGCTGAACATCATTAAGAATAGTTTTGCTGATTCATGGCGTGACTGTGACATTTGCTTCTTACAGAGAATGGGTGGTTTTATCTCCTATTAGGATAAGACTCAGAATAGTCTTGTGATGACTGCTTGCCTTTGCCTTCCCAGAAGGTTTCAGTCAGTCTGAATTAACCTGTCCGAGCCACTTCAGAAGGCTGTCTTCAGGATAAGCTGAGCACCAACCGTGTTGACTAAACAGCCCATGTAGAAGGCTTGTTATAGTCCAGAGTATAAACCTGAATTATTGAATGAAAAAAATCAAAGAGGATAAGAAGTTTATCACAATTAATACTTTGTTGTCATGCTTTATTCACAGAACGTCTGTAACAACTTAGCCATTTTTAACAAATGGAAATAAATGAAGCTTTTTTTTTGTTTGTTTTTTTCTCAGTAGGATGTACATCACTTTTTTGTTTGGCTGATCCCATGGGTGCCTTTAAAAGCGTTCTCAGGACAGCTGAGCTTTTGTTATTGCCCAGTTCCCACTCAGTGTTTGCCAGCCTTGGTGTATAAAGAGGAGGAAGGGTTTGATGCTAGTCTGCAGAGAGAATGATTTATTTTCTGTTATCCAGGAAGTTAACACTCCCGAGTTCAAAGGCGAGTTAAGTCATATCCATCGTGACATAATTTCTGTTTTATTAGAAACAGCCGACTGCATCTACTGTATTTGGTAGCTGGCTCAGTTATTTAGCAAAGACCATTAAAATAATGGAATGCTTCTGAAGTAGAAATGAAATGTTTGCTTTTTTTTACGCTCTGTTGGTGCTTTTTAAAGAGCAAGTCACCCCAAATCAACTTATTTTTTTCTGATAAACTATATAAATGCGTGTCTAATCGTGCTGCAGACACGGGTAGTCAATAGTTTGCACTTTAGTGCATTTTAGTTAAAATTCAAAATTTCTGCCTGAAACTATCAGTGTTGTGCCGTTGTCAGGTAAAAACTCTGCACTGCATTTGAATTTGAATTTCAATCTGCCATCGCTATTGGCTAAGAGGTACCCTAGAACGTTAGCTGGTACCATATGATGCCACAATGTCATTGTGAGCCTGTGTGTGTGTATTTGTTAGCGGCTCCGCCCTCTCGGTCTGCTAGGCAACAGCATTTGTTGCATTTTTCTAACAGGAAGTGGGAGTGGAGTAATACTCTGGTAGGGGTGTCTTGCTCTTTAAACATGTTGCCTGCCCTGAACTGAATTCTCCCCAACAAGTGTTACTGGTGTGAATGTCGTCAGTTGTGATTTGCATCATTTTCATACCAATTAAACAATATCGACTCTTTATGCGGTGAGGTCCATGGACGTGGTTTTGACTTGAGAAGTGGGGGGACACAACCGGCATGAGGACTGGGGAGGTGTTAAGTATACAAAAAAAATGTATAACCCCTACAGCCTAGATGCTCTTTTAATGCAGTGTCAGATATGCAGAACTGTCAAGTACACAGGTGGCAGGAACAGCCAATCACACGTTAGCAAGTATCAGCACAGCCAATAGATGAGCTTATGGATGGTTCTAATGGCTTCAACACAAGTGGTTTTCTGCTTGGTCCTAGTGCTCCACCAGTGTCTGTTTAATATTGCATAAGGTTGGTTTTGGACGGTAAAAAGTGCAGGGGACAAAAATGGACTTTAGAAAAAGTCTAAACTACGTCCATGGTGAAGTCATCACCTTGGATGAGACCAATCCCCATCAGGATAGAAATGGGATAAAAATGATCACTTACTTTGTTGATTTGAAGAGACGTTTCCTTCTCAGCTGATTTAAATCTTGCCAGCGTATTTCTCCTCAGAATAACAAAACCACTGAATAACTTTAGGGTTTGGGGTCAAAGGTTTAGTTTTCTTGGCTGTTTGCCAAGGACTCGACTGCACCGTCTGGCCAGTTTTCTTCTGCATCAAGTGGCAACGTGAAAAAGTATTTTTTTTTTTGTCATGAATGTTTCCAAAGAGCAAACTAACTTTTATATCAGCCAAAGATAAATGGTAAATGGCCTGTATTTGATAATGCGCCTTCTAGAGTCCTGGAACCCCCCAAGGTGCTTTACAACACAATCAGTCATTCACCCATTCACACACACATTCACACACTGGTGGGGATGAGCTACAATGTAGCCACAGCTGCCCTGGGGCGCAATGACAGAGGCGAGGCTGCCGAGCACTGGCGCCACCGGTCCCTCCGACCACCACCAGCAGGCAGCGTGGGTTAAGTGTCTTGCCCAAGGACATAACGACAGCGTCAGACTGAGTGGGGCTCGAACCTGCAACCTTCCGATTACAGGGCGAGCACTTAACTCCTGTGCCACCGTCGCCCCGATAACCCAAGTTAACAATTTTTTAAAATGATTTCCTGTCTAGGCCAACCAGGTAGATATATTAAAGATGCTATAGCAAATCTACAGAGTAGCTTTTGAATGCAAACGGAACACGTACCTCTCCCCTCGTGTATCTTCTCTGACACGCTTCTGCTAGATCCGGAAACCTGCAACACCAAAAGAAACAAGATGGCGCCGAACACCTGTCACAGTTTTCTAGATCCAAATGTCTTTTGTTGTCTAACTTCAAATGGTGTGTTTCTTTTTGGGACTCTTTGATAGTTTGTCCTAAAGCTGAAGCGGTAGCAGCCGGCTGTTTCTCCTTCTCTGATGTTACTGAGCGGAGAACCTCTCACCAGTGGTGCTGAATACGTGAGTGTGTGATGAGTGGAGGACCCAGGGAAGTGCAGCGGTTTGATGAAACTGACAACCAAATGGTCCAATGGTTGGTTTCACTCCCAGCCGTGTTGTTAGTGGAGGTTTTTAGACAAATACAAGAGAACCATTGAATTTTTTCATATTTTTTGAATCTCCACAATATATTTATAGCTACACTGTTAAAATGTGAAGAGGCATGAAAAAATGTTTTAAGCCACTTTTGTTTTCCAAATTTGCCGCTGTAGCTTTAATAACTTGGTGGCAACGACTACAACCAGGCATTTGTGATAACTAGTAAGTCTCTGTCCCACTCCCCACTGTGGGGGAATTTAGCCCCCTATTGTTTGCAAACATTGTTCTAATTCAGGCACATTGGAATGTTTTCAAGCATAAACAGTCTGGTTAGGGTCAAAGTTCAGACATTCCTTTAGGATTTTCTATTATAGAGCACAATCATTTACAGCAAGTCATCCAGGTCCTAAAACACCAAAGTAGCCCGACCATCATACTACCACCGCCATACTTGGCTGCTGGTATGTTCTAAAAGGCAGTTTTACTCCAGATGTAATAGGATGAACACCTACAAAAAGACACCCATCTCAGTGTTGAAGCATGACCTTTGACCTCAACCAAGGGACCATTTCTGCATACTCGTCTGAACTTTGTGAAATGTCAACGATTGCCCAAGTACTATTCCAACCCCAAGTACATATCATAGTTCCCGGATGTGTTCTTGCTCCGCCCATTGTATCAAGGATGCATTAGGCATTACTTCATCCTTCTGCGGACCCGGGACATTGAAGTATCCCAAAATGCATCGTCTCAAACTTATCTCACATGGAAAATGGCAGAGCAGAAAAGCTCATAACTGTTTTACATAAAAACTACTAATGACTAAATCTAACTTAATAAATATTAACTTGTCTGGTATTGTAGATAAATGTTTTAACCTGTAAAATTTGCTGACTTTGTTTCTCTTCTGACTTTTCACGATACCTCAAATGCTAATTAGTGTGCAGACTATCAAAATAAAAGCAGCCTTGCCTAAAATAGCAGTTTTGATGAAAAATAAACTTTAGTTTTAACAGCAGGAAACGCTGGTATTTTATAAAGTTTGATCAAAAGTGGACCAAACATTCTACAAATCAAACGTATTTATTAGTATATGTGGCATGAACTAGACCTTTTATTCTTATTTCAGGTAGTTTTTTTCTAATCAAAGTGTAAAGCAGCGCTTGTTGCCATGATGTAACGAAGTACGGTTTTGTTCCAAATGCCATCCTTGTCCTCGGCAGAACGGACTTACTGCTGTATGTGCCAAGTACACAAGAACTTACTAGCATACTTGGGGATTGAGGAACGACCAGGCTCACAGCTTTAGATCTTCTGGGCTTTTTAGTTTCAGATTTCTGTTGAACGGGGCCGGACGTGTTGCTTTTTGGCCTGCTTCAAGTTGTCAGACAGGATTTTTCATAGAAGTTATTAATTCTACAGGTCCGACGGTGATCAGGTCCTGGTGTAGTTATTAGTCCCAGCTGAGTCCTGATTTAAGGAGGTGGGTTATTCTTTCCACACAGCGCCAGGTTGGTCTGGATCTCATTAATGAGTGAAACATAATTTGTCTGTTGGTAAGGAGACAAGTACTGTTTTTCATAAAGCTGCTTTTTAGAAATGATCTCCACCAGAGGCTCATGTGAAGCATGATAGTTAAAACTCAAGTTCATTCGACCTCTCTGCCTCGCTGTTATCATTTAGCAGTAAACGACAAAGCCAGCAGGAGACATACTATTCCCTATATGGGCTTTGTTTGGGAGTTCACTAGCCTTGCTGTTTAGGTCCACAGAAAAGAGCTCTGCTCCAGAGAAGAGCCCATATATGGTCATCCCAGCACGGGACCCAAGCCTCCTAGCAGACGGAGAGAGGGAAGGAGGGACGATGGAGGGAGAAACACATTAAAACATGAATGTCAATTAAGCACTGGCTGAGTAATGTATAAAGCCATTTAGTACTCGTTGCTTGTTTTTGTTGTTTCCAGATAAAGCTGCTGACACGAGCTGTGAAGTTAATTAAAACCAATTTCCCAGCATCGATCATCATACGTTCTGTAGGGAGGGGATGCTCGTTCGTTTCCTCTGACGTCTGGGAGAGTAGGGGTTGAGAGGGTGGAGGGCTGTGAGAATGGCTGTTCTCGTGGAAGTCCCCGATGGAGGGGGTTAGACAAACCAACTCACTGAGCTTCAATCACAGCTTGTCTCCATCTGATGAGTTGCCCATCTTCTCTCCAGTTTTTATGCTCGTGCACAGCCAGCAAGTAGCTCATGACTGAACTGCTTCTAATCATCTTGCTTTAAAATTTAGGTCTTCACTTTTGCTGTTTTCTTCACAGCTGGCCCTCTGCCCCAACCTAAAATGTCCAAAAAGGCCCCAAGCGAGGACGAGAAGTTCCTCTATGTTGACAAAGACCTGCTGAACAGCCCCATGGCTCAGGCCGACTGGGCGGCCAAGAAGCTGGTATGGGTCCCATCAGAGAAACACGGCTTTGAGGCAGCGAGCATAAAAGAAGAGCGTGGCGATGAGGTGCTGGTGGAGCTGGCCGATAACGGCAAAAAGACAACGGTTAACAAGGACGACATCCAGAAGATGAACCCACCCAAGTTCAGCAAGGTGGAGGACATGGCTGAGCTCACCTGCCTGAACGAGGCCTCCGTGTTGCACAATCTTCGTGAGAGGTACTTCTCAGGGCTTATTTATGTAAGTATGAAGTGAAACGCGACTATTGATCAGAACGGACCAGCTTGTCTGACGTTCCTTGTTTTTGCAGACGTACTCTGGCCTGTTCTGTGTGGTGGTTAACCCTTACAAGATGCTGCCCATCTACTCGGAGAAGATCATTGACATGTACAAAGGAAAGAAAAGACATGAAGTCCCCCCTCATATCTACGCCATAGCTGATAATGCCTACAGAAACATGATGCAAGGTAGGATTCTTGCTTTTAAACAGTTCTCACTGGTCAATTGTCTCATAGTTTAAACTGCATTGCATTGCATGGTGTGGATGCTTGAACATTAAATGAGGTTGGTGCTTGGCTCGTTGCAGGGTAGAGTAGAAAAGAGGTGGCTTGGCAAGCCATCTTATAAATGTACATTAGTCTGGCCACGACCCGTAGAGCTTTCATTTGGCCTCTGCACACAGCTGGACAGCAATTGGACCGATCAGAGCAACAAACACCAGAAATCAGTCAACTGGGCAGTCCGCCATACCCACAAGTACCTCTGTCTGTTCACGTGTAAAATAAGAGCCCAAGTCCAAATCATCCAAAGTTGATGCCAAAGCCGTAAAAGGTGCTACGCCCACCAAACATCGCTCTACAAACTTGGAGCGCTGTGATTGGCCTAGGGCTGAACGATTTAGAAAAATCTAATTTAGATTTTTTTTCTTCAATATTGCGATTTAATTCACGATTATTTTCTCAAGGGGCTTTTCTCCTTTTTCAACCAACGGAAGCAAAACCTATCTATGCAACTTGTACTGAATATAAACAAGTTTATGTATCTAGATATTTATCTACATATCATATCAACAAGTATATTTGTCTACATAAACACTCAAAAGTAAAATTTTGTATTTGAAGGTGCGATGCTTTGCAGCCAGGAGCACATCCCATGAAGGAGCATAGGTATTAGCATCAACTGTGAAAATTAAATTGCAGGAAAGATGTTTGTCCCATTTATTGAAGTCTTTTTTGATGTCTTGTCCATGCAGAGCTTCCATAGTTCAGTAACGTTCACAGCTGCTAGCCAAAACTCAGTGGAGTTAAACTCTCTTACAGTTTTCTAGTTTTACTAAAATATCTGTCTGTACTTATTTGATTAATGGCAGTTTTTGCTTTTTATCAGACTCCAAATGTAATAATTTGGCACGTTCCTAATTCGTAATTTGTAAGAATGTAATCGGCGATATTAGCATTAGCATCCCTATGGGTTTTTCTATGCATATTAGCATTGTGCTAAACACTCGCTGGCAGCCAAATCGCAGCCTTTGCGATTAGCAAATCTCCTTTTGTCACATAGAAATTTTATTGCATACGCAATTAATGGTTCAGCTCTAGATTGGCCCAGCCTACACTTGGCTGAGCCAATGGTAGACCTCCTAAGACTACGCTGGGGTGTGGCTAGACCGTCCTGCAGAGAAAAATGGTTTTGCTTCTGCTATGGTTGGTCTAAAAGCTTTTCCAGCTGCAAACGCACATGAAGGATGAATCTGAACACCGTCATGTGAGTTCAGACTCATCCAGGAGTTTTACATGTTTACCCTAGATCAGTTTGACGGAGTGTTGTAGAGATTTGAACAAGACTTTGGGGTTATTGCTCACAGTGAATGATGTACAGTGACATCAGAGGTAGAACTTCATAAGAGCTCACATTTAAGCCTCATTTTATCCAAGCGCTGTGTAACACATACTGTAGAAATGAATGGAAGAGAAGCCCGTGCCTCCACAGCGGCGGCTTAAAGTTGTGATTAGTTTTTGAACCGGTTTAGCTCCTAATGGATTACCTGTGATTTTCAAAGCGGCTCACCTGTTGAGGCAGTTTTTCCTGTTCTTGTCTTTATTTGCTGTTAATCAGGTGCGACTGGTGTTTTGTGGTTCTGAAGCTGAAACGTTAGGAACAGCTGATACTAGTCTAGTAATTGGGTTGTTGTTTTTTTAGTTTGTCTTCACTGTTAATACGCTTCTGTCTTTAATTGTTCCAACTGATTTGCATCAAAGTGTTTGCAGAAAAAAATGACTTATTTTTGTGGTCATGGGATGTATGAACGGGTTATTCCCGCCTAGCTGACTCTTTTCACAAGTTTGATCTAAATAAACTTCATGCCTGCTGCAGACTGATGGCTTTAATGGCTCTGAGTCTCTTTTTGAGTCAGTGTCTCGTGAAGGTGACGATTGTGGCCTTGGCAGCAGCATCGCTGCTTACAGTAAATGTCTCTGGGTTTAAACTGCAGTGATGCGATTTCAGAGCCACTCATTTCCCATCGACTCTGTTTCCAGAAGGTTTTACCCGCTTGGTTTCATGTTGACGTGAGGATGTTCTCTCAGAGGAGTTGACATCTGGATGGAGATGGGCGGAGGGCAATAAAGCATTTCCTGTGTCAGAAAACCTCCACTTCCTCACTTAAAATTAGCTTTTTTTTCCCCCTTTTTTTGGAATAAACCGGGTTTAGTTTGGACTTTGCGTGAATCTAGGTTTTCCTCTTAAAGTGAACATGTTCTTGGACGAGATTTAAGTTTGACGGTCGGTGTTTGAGGTTACATTTACATGCCGATAATCTTAAATAGCTCTGTACGCCAGCATGACGTTATTTTAACACTAGAGCTAAAGAAACTCACCTGCTTTTGACTAAAACCTCCTAAGTTTATCCACAGAATTTAGTTGCCTAAAGACAAAATAACCGGCTGCCATGAAAACCAAGAAAACTGTCATTAAGAGCTCTTTATAATCTTTTGGTTTTGCTGAAATGCAAACTGCTCGTTTTTAGGTTTTAAAGGAACTTATTTGGGCTGAAGATGTGAGATTGGTCTGCTCCCAGAAAACGACCGATTAAAAACAGCAAAGCCTGTTGAATGCAGCTGAGACGATATCAGACGCCAGGTTATTTATCTATTTTAATAATTAAAATCAACTCTACACCAGTACTTCCGACTGTCAGATACTGTAGTGGTGCATTTTGTGCTCCAGCACACGTAAATGAAGTCCTGACCACCACATACAGCGTGTAGACGAGGGCTGACCTGTAAACGAGGGGTTTAGATTTAGCTCATCCCTGCAGGTCCACCTTCACAGCTCTACCTTAAAGGCTGATCGTGCAGAAAGTGTTTTACTTGATGCATTTAGTTCAAACTAAGCATGAGTTCTGGCTCATGATCTACGACGCGACAAGTGCATGTACATGTTTAGCTGGTGGACCTCCCATTTGGTGAAAAAAGTAGGAACTTTTAGTGTAAAGCATCACTAAGACGATGGCTAATACTGTTGTTGTGGTTTAAAAGCAAATGGGAAAGATTTTAAATGATAAATATTGTTTTTGACTGTTTAAAGTGACCCTAAAGGTTTCTGTACACATGACCCAGAAAAGATCACACCCATTACCAGCTTCTACTGGAAGCCAGTCGATGCTCTCGACTGGTCGGATTTCCCGTGAAGTCGTAACTAATGATGCAAGATGTTTGACTCCAAATGTTCCCAGTCCAACAATTCTCGACGTAAGAGTGGAAGTGATGCATAACCGCAGCAAATCCAGAAAACCCTCCTAAAGCTCTGAAATCATCTGCCAAGAAGCGAAGCTTCAACTCTTTGATGTCCAGAAGATGGAAAAATGTGAAAATCCCGACGGGAGTTTGTTGTTCCCACTGCAGCAGAAGAGCAACATTCCGTTGCCGCTGGGAATAACATTTTTATCAGATCGACTCTTCGTGTTTGAGTCAGACATGAAACAAAACATTTCTGTCCTCCTGTAGGTTTCCATTTCGCTCGTGCACGAGCGACGGGTGTTTTTTGGAGATCTTACAAAAACTCCTATCAGGCCATCTCACATTCTCTCTCCTTCTGCCTTAATTAGGAAGTGCAGGAGAGGAACAGGCTGCATGTTTTTTTGAATGCATGTGAGGAATGATGCAGGAGCTGCAGCCAGACTCAGGTCCACGTTGGGGGGGGGGGGGGGGGAGCATTATAACTGTGCCTGCAGATCCCTGCAGAAGTGAATCTATAAATGATCCCAGATTAAAAGTTGCTCATAAATGTAACGTCAGTTATGTTTCAGAACCGAGTTCACTCTTCCAGGAGCGGTTTATCCCTACATGGACTTTGTGTACTCTCCCAGGAGTATTTTAGGAGGCAGAGTAATTCCTCACCCCCCTGCATGTTTAGAGCCGTTTTTCATGAAAATCAGTATTTGTTGGGGGTTACACCTCGGTATGGAGGAGCTGGGGTTTCCACTAGACTGACCGGGGAGATAAATGAATATTAATGATCATAAAACCACCTGATTCTGTATCTATTCTCTGTCCTGCAGACCGCGAGGACCAGTCTATTCTCTGCACGTAAGTGAAACGTCGTTATTCCCTTTCTTACACCTGCAAGGAGGAGCTTAACTGGTTGTGTGTGTTAGCGGCGCAGATCCAAGCCAAACATCCCCTACAACACAAAGTTTTAAGTCGGGTTTTTATTATATTCAAACTGGTTGAGTGGCAATACTTCTGCAGGTTTCCCAGAAGGCTGTGTCCTCCATCTCAGTCGGCCAGGAAGCGTCCTGAACCCTGATCTGATGAGAGAAGCAGATTGGCTCTCCAAATGTTTGGACTCCATTTTGTTTGTTTGCTCCAAGCTAATTACTCAGAGTTCGGACTTCCAGGGACAAATGGCTTCATTTTGTTTGCATTTATTTTATAATCTGACCCCAACTCAGTGGTGGTTTTGTTGTTTTAGTAAATTCAGTGATTTCAGAAGCATTTTACTCCGTTACTCTCGCTGATCTTAGGGTTTGTGTTTGTGCTGCTGATATTAATGTACACGCATACCTCCACAGTAAAGTCAAGAGTTGAGATGTAGTAGAAACAAGTAAAGCCTCAGTATTTTTGTTTTTTTACTTCTGCTCCTAATCTACCAAAACCAGGATGCAGCAAATTCCTACAGAACAGTTTCCTGAACGATTAAACCTTATCAGAATGAAACGGGAAGGCCTGGTGGATCTGAAGCAGCTTCTGAATTCATAGGAATGTAGATGGGAGGGATTGTGAGCATGCAGCAGTTTGATATGAGGAACAAAAGTTAAAAGTTTAAGTCTTTAGATTTCATGCCCCAGCAGGCCCCTTCAGCTGCAAAATCAAACGTTTGTGGTGTGAAACTTGCATTTAGATCATTCTTCTGTTGCCCTTCCTGATCTCTGAGGAAATATTTGGGTGTTTTTTTTCTTCTACTTTTTACATTTCGCTGAAATTAAAGCACCAAATAATGCTAATTAAACTCTGAGACAAAGCAGCGATCCTTTAAGTGAGTGTGGGTGAAGGCATGCAGGCTGTGCAGAACAGAGCAGCAGCAGATGGTCTGTAGGGAGAAACTCCAGCTCAGCTGCCAGCAGTAGGAGTCGGGATGCTGTGCATCAGGACCAGCTTCGAACACGACACGGCAGTTGGATTCCTCTCTGAGCTGCCAGAACATCTCGTGCCTTTTAAGGACCCGCACACCAGCCGATGGCCCTGGGATCAATCAGCTCATGGCTAATTTTGTTTCCTGCAGAGCGAATCCGTCCTTGGTTCTGTTTAGAGTATACATTCAGTTTAAAAGGGTTCTTTATATTTCATCATCCCTGTAGAGTTAAATGTGTCTGTGCTGCTCTCAGCCGTTGATCCAGAGCAAAAAGTCCGTTTTTTCCCAAAGATTTTGAGCTTTTTAATGTAATGAATTAATATGAGAGTAACTGTCTTTGTAGTAAATCTGTGTTGGTGGCCTTAAACACCACTGAGTCGGATTTCCTCTACTGAGTTGAGAGAAAGCAAAAACGTCTTTATAAGTTTCTCTACTTGTTTTCTTTTGGTTGCAGTATTTTTAATCGGCGAATCAACGGGCGAAACGGTAAAAACTAGAATCTGGAAGTCCGTTTGTCGGTAATCCAGCTCAGACTGAGAGGTTGAACACCGTTTCAACACACCTGATTTCAATCAGCAGGTGATTACCAGCCTGAGCCGCTGCACAGGTGATTCAACCACTGAATCAGGTGTGTTGGAGCAGAGAAACCACTCAAACATGCTGGATACCGACCCTCCAGAACCAGAACCAGAACTGAGTAGGCTCAGGAACCTTCTGCAGGTGTTCTGGATCCATCAGCTGATGAAGTCTAGAATACTGAACCTCTTCACAATATTCTAGTAGTCTGAGATTAGGGTTTTCATCAGCTGTCAGCCATAACCATTTAAATTTATGGAGCCAGAATACATGTCGGATCTCCTTCCCGTAAATACGCCCAGGACTCTGAGATCCTTAGGAACGCTGGTAGAACCGGGTCAGAACCAAACCGGGTGAAGTTGCTTTTAGCTACCGTGCTGCTCACAGGTGGAGTTAGCTTCCTCGTGACCTGAAATGTAACCCAACTCTAGAAACTTTTAAATCAAAATGGAAAACTTTCCTGTTTTCATCGGCGTTTGAATGTTTATGGTGCACCTTCTGCGCTGTAGCTGCTCACCCTTTAGCGTTTTAGCCGTCGCATTACTATTCTCGCTAATGGAAAGCACATTAGATTACCTCTGTGTATGAACTGTGCTATACAAATAAAGCTGCCTTTTAAGCTGAATTAGTGACATCAATTAACTTTTGCATCATATTACAGTTTTTCCTGTTTCACCTGTAGGTCAGTTTTCCTATTAGTTGTAAAAATCAACCATTTTCTTCATAAAAATTCAGAAACCAACATAGTGGTGTTAAAACTATTATCAACCCTCCCACTGGGGTGGAGGGGTGAGGAGTGAGCACCACCTGCCACGTGGACCTCAAGGGATAAACCATCAATCCTGCTCAATGGTCAACTTTCCTCGCGGGGCCACACCCATTAGGACAGTGGGAGGGTTAAACGTGTTGCTGCACTGTTTGAATGCAGAAAATAGCCCTTTTTATAAGACCCACCATGCTGGCAAATCAGCGTAATATTACCGCAACGGTATGTCTATAAACGCGCCATGCCAGCATGGCGTTGTGCGAATATTGCGGCATTCGTTCCGCCTGGCTTGGTAGTAATATTGCGGTAATGGTCTGTCGTGTGCGCCCTGGCGCAACAGAGGCAGATGTCATGATGACGTGGGGAGTTATTGCTGAGCTCCGGCTGGCAAATTTATTGAAAATGAAAGTAAACACAGGCAGTAAGGTTTGCTTTTTGAACAAAATCAGCTGAGATGGCAAACTGGAGCGTCGCAGCGCTCCACGAGCCTCTCTGTTAGAGCTGAAGCTCAGATCACCAGAGACTGCAGAGGGACAGACGGGGACAGACACCTTTAGGAGCTGCTTGTTAAAAAAAATGTAACGATCACAGCTTCAGTCACAATAAAAAGCAAGTTATGTCCAAGATAAACGGAAGTCTGCGGCAGCGCTGAGACCGCCCCCATGCCCCCTTTATGCCACCATCACCTAATCTTTTATAAAATTGCCACGATTGCGCCACATTACCGCCACGGTCTGATCTTATAAACGACCTTTATCCTCCCCAGGGAGCCGCGGCAAATCCCGCTTTGCAAACGCTATTCAAATGCCTGGCTATCTGCCTTCAGTGTGTTCTGTTATTCAGACTGGTTTAGCGTGAAAATCCTAACTTACTGGAGGAAACGTGAAGACAACAAGCAGAAACACTGATGTGGTTATCAGAGATGTGAACATGTTTCATATCGGTTTTTCTGTGGGTTTCCTTTTTAATTCTACGTCTTGTTTTTCCCACCTCAGCGGAGAATCTGGTGCAGGAAAGACGGAGAACACCAAGAAGGTCATCCAGTACCTGGCAGTCGTGGCCTCCTCCCACAAAGGGAAGAAGGACAGCAGTGCTGTAGGTATCCGAGGGAAGAAATCACCATTTGTCAGCCAGTTCCCTCACGCTTTCATGTGAGCAGGACGAATAAAACCAGAGTTTAATCCTGTATATTGCCGTTTCCTCCAAATAGCAACAATCAGGATCACAGTTTGCCTACGTGAGTAAAGGGGAATGCCTGGAGTGTGTTTTATGTGTGTGGCGTCTGTTTAATAATGTAGAAAAGTGCATGAAGGTAGCGTCACTGATTTCCTCCTCAGACTGATGGATTTCGTTTCATTTTCTTTAGTATTCATCATCAGTCAGAGCCGGTTTAAACCGGCCGTCTGCTGGAGAAACAGTTTCGGAGACGTGGACACGTGTAGCTTTATTTTATCTTGGGTGTGTTTTTCTTTCACTGCCAGTGGAGACTTGAATATCCCGCCCAGATCGATGAGCACAGTGTGAGCATGCACCTCTCCTGTTGGCTGTCCAGCACCTTCCCTTCCCTTTACCTCTCCTCCCACCTTTCAGGTACCCAGACGGTTTAGTGCAGCATGTTGTTTTAGTCCTGTTGGCATCAGATCCAGACTTAAAGTGCCGACATGAAGGCCTGCTCCTGTCTGGGTCAGGTCCAATAGAAGCTGTATGAAGTTGGTGGCGCTTGAGTTTTGGGAATCTTGAGTAAAAGCCACCGATCCCACCGAGTCCTCCAGAGGAATACTTCAGATGGCGTAAACCTTCGAGGCTCCCACGGATCGGATCGGAACAGGAATGTTTGTTTTCCTCTGCCCTCATCAGGAGCTGCCATCGTGACTCTTTTGCTCATCTGTCCTCTACAGCGTTTATATTTAAATGTCTTAAGAACCGTTCTCTGTTTCAACTGCAACTTTCTCCTTTTCCTTGCTGTGCTCTGTCTTTTCCCCACAGTAACTTTAGTAAACAGGACCTTCCTCTGTGCTTTGCCTCCTCTGAACTGCATCTCATCAGTGGGTCTGTATCTCCTTTTTTGTCTTAAGTAAATGTCTGGTTTTTATTTAACTTGCCCCCCCCCCCCCCCCCCCCCCCAAAAAAAATACAAAAATCCATGTTTTTATGTTTAAGATCTGAGCAAAATAAACATTTGTTGAATTCCACAACTTTACAAAAATTCCCTTTTCCCATTAAAACGTGCCTTTCCTCTTGAGGCTTTAGCTCGTTTACACAGCGGGTGTTTAAAGTGAGAACGTTTACGTAGAGGCCTGCACCACCTGACCCTGATGCAGCCTGAGAAGAACCGCTTTGATCTTCTGGATTAGCTCGATTCAAACCGATGGACTGTCCGGTTCATTTACCGACGTTCATCCCACTCTTCTCACCGATCCGGTCGCTCCACAGTCACGCTGGAAGGAGATCACATCTCCAAAAAGATATTTGTGTTGAGCAGAGTCATTCCAGCTGTGTTTTGCATATTCCACTCTGACCCCAGAAAACATTTGTGGACGTTTTTCCACGTTTTACGTTTCTGTATAAAGCATTTATTGGTGTTGGTATTTTGGCTACATCTCCCCCTGAGCCACCTCTCCCAGTCCCACAGCCGCGGTGCTTGATGGGAATGTTTGTGTGTATGACTGTTGCCACCAGGGGGAGCTGGAGAAGCAGCTCCTGCAGGCCAATCCCATCCTGGAGGCTTTTGGAAACGCCAAGACCATCAAGAACGACAACTCCTCTCGATTTGTGAGTTATCTACTTTCTCTGTTTAGCTGAAATTCGTGTTTATGTTGGTTTTCCTGTAACGCCTCGTTTTCTTCGCTGCCTTTAGGGAAAATTCATTCGGATCAACTTTGATGTCACAGGCTACATTGTTGGGGCCAACATAGAGACTTGTATCCTTTCTAATGCACAGGTTTTTCAACCTGCGGCTCTGGGGCCACATCTGGTCCATCCAGTCCCTCAGAAGTGGATTCTTGTAGCTTCGGTCATAAATAATTAAACCTGACAAATCTTTATATTTAAACTGACCGAGAGAATTTTTAAACAGAAGCCTTGTCCAATTTTTCATAAGTGCTCATTTTCTTGAAAAGTGGGTTGATCCCATCAGTTTAGTTCAGAATTGGACAGTTTGAACCAAAACTGTGTGTTAGCTTGTGACCCATTTGCAATTTAAAGGTATATTAAAGGGAGACGAGGGAATTTTTGGCTTGCTTTTAGCACCCCCTAGTGTCCATCTCGCTGTGCGTTTGTCTTTTTAACGCCTTAATCAAGAAGTGTCAAACTCACACGGGGCCGAAATGAAAATCTGGGACGAAGTCGAGGGCCAAACTTAATATTTTATGAAAAAGTGACGGCAAATTTGCACATTTTCTTTATCAACACATATGCAATTTTGAGCCTTTTAATTTGGAAACAAACATATTTCTGCATTAACACTGAATGTGGAATAACCAAATTACACACGAGCAAGTCAGTTTTAAATAAAACACATCAGTGGTATTCATTACTTGTGGTATAATCAGCATTTTAAAATCTATTCAGGATTTATGTTTTCTTGTTTATTCATTTTTCTTATTTTTTATTCTCCTTTTTTTCTCCTGTAATACGTGTCATCGCTGCTGTGACGTCTAGCTTTCCCCACTGAGGAACAATAAAGCGATTTTCTATTCTATTCATCTATCTGCAGCCTTTCCACTTCCTGTTTACTGTAGGTTTAAATCTTTTCTCACGGGCCAACAACAAAATAAAAATATCATTTTAACTTAAATGAAAATGCAACATCTCACCTGTTAACTTTCATGTTTTGGAGCATAAAACCAAAATATTTAAAGCTCAGTTTGTTCCACTGGTTTACTGTGATGCTCAGCTGTTCCAGCCAGGTACCTGCATCATGGGGTTGATCTGAGCTGAGGAGGAGACTCCTGTTGTTTTCTTCATCTTCATCATAATAATGACAACATTAGATGACAACAGGTGCTCACATAGGTTTGGGCTGATGAACATGTCTGAGCAGCTTGACCACGTTGTTGTGTGTCGGGGAGGAATAACAACTACAGCAGCCACAGAGACGTGCTGATTTGGGCGTGTCGCTGCTCGCTGGAGTTATATCAGCTCTGTCTGGACGTTAGTTGGAAAACTTTCTCTTTTAGTCGTGAACACGTTACTGAGCGGCTAAAATCTCAGTTTCTGGGCTTCAACGTCGGCAAATAGCTGAGTGAACTTGGCGCTGAGTGAGAGGAGTGTAGTTTGTCCGAGACAGCGGAGCTGCAGACACCGGCAGCAGACGCAGGAAAAAACACAAAGGAGGGAGCGCGTCGGCTCCACGCTAATGCCGCAAAGCATCATGGGAGTTGTAGTCTTTGCTGTAAAATCGGCCAGTGGGTCAGTTTTAATATATTTTTGATATTTATCTTGCGGGCCACATCTGGCCTTGTGTCTGACACGTGCCTTAATCTAACATCTGAAATATCTCCCAGCCTGCCTTCGTGTCCACAGGAGTAAAGGCGCTGGAGCCAGATTTGTCAACTCAGTCTCTTAAGTCTCACAGAGCGGCCCACCAGGCTGAAGCTCAAGTTGAATATTCTAGCCACAGGGGGCGATGGGGGCTGGGTGACCTTTCATTAACCCCGTAAAGCAGGGGTCACCAACCCGGGCCTCGAGGGCTACCATCCTGCACATGTTCATTTTGGCTCGTTTCTTTGCTCCTGATTGAAATGACTGCGTAATTACCAGTTAAAAGTGGTCAGGAGAAGATTAAATTACTCCATTCAGGTGTGGAAGAAGGAAACAAGGAAGACTAGCAGGATGGTAGCCCTCGATGCCTGACGTTGGTGACACCTGCTTCGTTTTAGCGCAAAACTGGCTCAAGAAAATGGTTTAAAAATATGAAAAGTGTCCCTTTAACATTTTTACACATTTGAGGGAAATTATTATGATTAAATGTAGTTTAATGCACTTTTAGGACCTCAAAATGTGACAAAGTAGTTTTAATAAAAGAAACTTGTTTTAAAAATAATCTTTATTCAGGTCATTAAAGGGGCAATCCCTTAGGTGAGCGTTGGTAAATGGCCTGTATTTGTTTAGCCCCCCCCCCCCCCAAGGCCCAGCACAATCAACCATTCACACGCTGGTGACAAGCTATGTGACCACAGCTACAGCTGCCCTGGGGCGCACCGACAGAGGCGAGGTCGCTGTACAACAGCACCACCAGTCCCTCCAACCACCACCAGCAGGCTAGGGGGTTAAGTGTCTCGCCCAAGGACACAACAGCAGAATTCCCTGGTGAGAGCCACGATCGAACCTGCAACCCTTCGATAACTGACAACCCGCTGTACCTCCTGAGCTCCTGCTGCCCCAGACTGGCAAACATAACTCGTACTTAAGGCAAAAGTGCCATCAGTAATATTTTATCATACCTGCATTTGTTCTCAAAGGTTTAAAATGGAACGACCCGGTCAGGGTTTAACTGGTTAACGACCAGTATTTGATGAAGTGGGTTAGGATGGATTTATTTCTAATGAAGCGCCTAATAGAAAAAATAAACTAAGCTCAAGTTTTTATTAAAACAAAAGTTTAAGCTCCCAAACCTTCTTAGCTGGAAGTGTGGCGTGTTCTTTAACTGGTGACTGACCTCAGACCTGCTGGAGAAGTCTCGCTGTATCCGACAGGCAAAGACGGAGAGGGCTTTTCACATCTTCTACTACATGATCGCTGGTTCCAAAGACAAACTGCAGGGTAAGGAGATCCATTTATTACAAAAACACCATTTATCACACTTGAAGAACGTTCACCAGAACTCTTCACCATCAGAGGAGCTTCTCCTGGAACCCTTTAGTGGTTACCGCTTCCTGAGTGCCGGTCATGTTCAGATCCCCGGCCAGCAGGATGACGAGATGTTCGAGGAGACCATGGAGGCGATGACGATCATGGGCTTCACCGACGAGGAGAGAACCGGTACCATTAGGTGTTCTGGTGGGATTTTGTCTTGCTGTTGGCTGCAGCTCTGTAACTCTGCGTGCATTTACACTCTGCAGATATACTGAAGGTATGCTCCACGGTGATGCAGCTGGGCAACATCGAGTTCAAGAAGGAAAGGAATCAGGAACAAGCCACCATGCCAGACAACACTGGTCAGAAGGTTTTACTCCGTGCGAGGTGAAAGTCCTGCTGGATGATTTAAAACTAAACAAACGGTTTTGTCCTCCAGCGGCCCAGAAGGTGTGCCACCTGCAGGGCATCAATGTGACGGACTTCACCAGAGCCATCCTCACGCCTCGGATCAAAGTAGGCAGAGAGGTGGTGCAGAAGGCCCAGACCAAAGAGCAGGTAGGGTTCCGTCATCTAGTCTAAAAATGGGTCTCGTGTGGATTTTTTCACTCAGGTTTCCCGTTTCCTTCGTAGGCCGACTTCGCTGTTGAGGCGTTGGCCAAAGCTATTTATGAGCGACTGTTCCGTTGGATCCTCGGTCGGGTCAACAAAGCCCTGGACAAGACCAAACGGCAGGGAGCCTCCTTCCTGGGAATCCTCGACATTGCTGGGTTTGAGATATTTGAGGTAAAAGCATGTTTTTGTGAAAACGTTCCGCTGAAATGATTGTTTTAACTCTAACACCAAACTTTGTGACGACCCGACCTGCAGGACAACTCCTTTGAGCAGCTGTGCATCAACTACACCAACGAGAAGCTGCAGCAGCTCTTCAACCACACCATGTTCATCCTGGAGCAGGAGGAGTACCAGAGGGAGGGCATCGAGTGGAACTTCATCGACTTTGGTCTGGACCTACAGCCCTGCATTGAGCTCATCGAGAGGCCGGTAAAAATCCCCCCGTGTTCTGTGATGCGTCTGGTTTCATTAGCAGACCTTCTCCGTTCATGGCAGTCGTTTGCTCTCTGCAGAACAATCCTCCAGGCATCCTGGCTCTGCTGGATGAGGAGTGCTGGTTCCCAAAAGCCACAGACATCTCGTTTGTCGAGAAGCTCATGAACACTCAGGGGAACCACATCAAATTTGCCAAACCAAAGCAGCTGAAGGACAAAACGGAGTTCTCCATTCTTCATTACGCTGGAAAGGTGAGCGCCTGACGCTCGGGTCCTGTTCAGAACATTATTATTGTCTTTTAGCTGATGTAACGTTGTCTCTTTGGTTTTAGGTGGACTATAACGCCACAGCTTGGCTGACTAAGAACATGGACCCTCTAAATGATAACGTCACAGCACTTCTCAGCAATTCCTCCAGCCAGTTTGTGCAGGATCTGTGGAAGGACGGTGAGATGAAGACTAACAGACACGCCCGTGCAGAAGTTCAGGGTCAGATGACCGCTAGCTGTTTTTGTATTTTCCAGCGGACAGAGTGGTGGGTCTGGACACGATAGCCAAGATGACTGACAGCTCCATGCCCAGCGCCTCAAAGACCAAGAAGGGAATGTTTCGCACAGTTGGACAACTCTACAAGGAGTCTCTGGCCAAACTCATGACCACACTGCACAACACGCAGCCTAACTTCGTCAGATGCATCATCCCGAACCACGAGAAAAGGGTAAAGATGATGCAGTCTGCTGCAAAAACACCCGAGGCATTTAATCCATAAAACCGTGAACTCTTGCCAGGCAGGGAAGCTGGACGCCCACCTGGTGCTGGAGCAGCTGCGGTGTAACGGTGTGTTGGAGGGAATCAGGATCTGTCGGCAAGGCTTTCCCAATCGAATCGTCTTCCAGGAGTTCCGCCAAAGGTGAAGGCAACGCTGCGATGGCGGTTGAGTGTCGATGTCTGTATTAAACGTTGCATCGCACCGTCTCTCCACAGATACGAGATCTTGGCTGCAAGTGCTATTCCCAAAGGTTTCATGGACGGCAAACAGGCCTGCTGCCTGATGGTGGGCGCCGACGCTTCATCTGTGCTCTTTAAGTTTGGTGAATCGTTCCCTTATTCCCGGTGTGGGTTTGCTGCTCTTGTTTGTGTAGATCAAACATCTGGACTTGGATCCCAACCTCTACAGGATCGGACAGAGTAAGATCTTCTTCCGTACCGGAGTGCTGGCCCAGCTGGAGGAGGAGAGGGATCTGAAGATCACTGTGATCATCATCGCGTTCCAGGCTCAGGCGAGGGGCTTCCTGGCCAGAAAGTACGAAACGACGTCGCCCTCGTTCATGGTCCTTCTCGATTTTTGGCTGTGGTTCAGTATATCAGTGTTGTTGTATTTTAAAGGGCGTTCGCTAAGAGGCAGCAACAGCTGACAGCCATGAAGGTGATCCAGAGGAACTGTGCTGCCTACCTCAAACTCAGGAACTGGCAGTGGTGGAGGCTCTTCACTAAGGTCTCGTGTGGTTTTGGCTGCTATTTGTGTTTTTTTAACGTTGCGTTCGTGCTGCTTAAGATGCCTTTTGTGTGTTTTTCTGACCTGCAGGTCAAGCCTCTGCTCCAGGTGACTCGACAAGAGGAAGAGATGAGCCTAAAGGATGAAGAGTTGCAGAGAGCCAAAGAGGTGGCTTCAAAGTTTGAGTCGGAGCTTAAAGAAGTCAACCTGAAACACGCACAGGTGAAAACGGCCCCGTTTAGTGACTTCATTCATAAATAAAAGCTCATTAGTAAAATTCTGTGCCGCAACTTGTCCATAGATCTGCTGGTGGTGCAGTTGAGTCAGAAAGTTTAAATTCATGTGTCCTTCAGATGGTCGAGGAGAGGAACGCTCTGCAGGAGCAGCTCCAGGCAGAGACGGAGCTGTACGCAGAGGCTGAGGAGATGAGAGTCCGTCTGGGAGCCAAGAAGCAGGAGTTGGAGGAGATCCTCCATGAGATGGAGGCCAGGCTGGATGAGGAGGAAGAACGAGCTCAGGCGCTGCTGCTGGACAAGAAGAAGATGCAACAGCAGATGCAGGTCTGCACGCGGGTTTATGTTGGGATCATTTCACTGGGGAACTTTTACTCTGATTCAATCGACTGGTGTTTTTTTAGGAACTGGAGGAGCACTTAGATGAAGAGGAGGATGCCCGTCAAAAGCTGCAACTGGAGAAGGTCACCTGTGAGGGGAAGATTAAGAAGCTGGAGGACGACATTCTGGTAATGGAGGATCACAACAACAAGCTTCTGAAGGTGAGGTTCGAAATTCAGAGCCGTTCTTCTCCGGTTCCGGTCCACCACTAAGAGTTTGGGACGCCTTTAGGAGCGTAAGCTGTTGGAGGAACGAGTTGCTGACTTTAGTGCCAACTTGGCAGAGGAGGAGGAGAAATCCAAGAATCTGACCAAGCTCAAAAACAAACACGAGTCCATGATCTCAGAACTGGAAGGTAATCGTCTTTTATTCATCCGTCGGGATAAACGGAGCACTTCCGTGAGGAAAAACCAGAATTCTGGTTTCTGAGGGATTGCTTTTCTGTTTGTGGTCTAGTTCGCTTGAAAAAGGAAGAAAAGACTCGCCAGGAGCTGGACAAGGTCAAGCGCAAGTTGGAGGCGGAGTCTAGTGACCTACAGGAACAGATAGCCGACCTGCAGGCCCAGATCGCCGACCTCAAAGCTCAGCTCGCCAGGAAGGACGAGGAGTTGCAGAACGCCTTGGCCAGGTGACGTCGGGCTCTGGTTGCTTTGACCGTCTGAGGCAAATTCACGACGGCTTCAGCCTTTTCTTCCTTTCCGACAGTCAAATAACCGCTTTAGCCTTCTGGTCTCTCAGGTTGGAGGATGAGATGGCTCAGAAGAACAATGCTCTGAAGAAGATCCGAGAGCTGGAGGGACACATCTCTGACCTGCAGGAGGACCTGGACTCTGAACGAGCTGCTAGAAACAAGGCAGAGAAGATCAAACGAGACCTCGGGGAGGAGCTGGAGGCGCTCAAGTCTGAGCTAGAGGACACACTCGACACAACTGCCACTCAGCAGGAGCTTCGGTTGGTCGCCGTGAGCGTAATGAAACCCTCTTGTGAGAGGAAGGGACCCACGAGTGCACATATCACAGATGGTTTTTATTTAATCACCTTTCTTCAGAGCCAAACGCGAGCAGGAGGTGACGCTGCTGAAGAGGGCCATCGATGAGGAGAACCGCACACATGAGGCTCAGGTCCAGGAGATGAGACAAAAACACACCCAGGCCGTGGAGGAGCTGAGCGAGCAGTTGGAGCAGTCCAAACGGGTACGCCTGCGTTCACCAGAACACTCTTTAACCTTCTTCACGTCATTTAGCGATGCTCCTCGTTTCTGCTCAGGTGAAGACGAACCTGGAAAAGGCCAAACAAGCCCTGGAGAAGGAAACATCTGAGCTGACCGTCGAGGTCCGCTCGCTGACTCAGGCCAAACAAGACGGGGAGTACAAGAGGAAGAAGTTGGAGAGTCAGGTGGTCGAGCTGCAATCGCGCGTCAACGACAGCGAGAAGCAGAAGACTGAGCTGAGCGAGCGCTGCTCCAAGACTACCGTAACAATCTTCCTGCATTCCCATCAATCAGGATTGAGACTTCCTGGGAAAACTCAAACGGTGTGTTTGACTCTGCAGGTGGAGCTGGAGAGCGTGACGACCTTGCTGAACGAGGCAGAGGGCAAGAACATCAAACTCAGCAAAGATGTTACCAGTCTCACCTCTCAGCTCCAGGACACGCAGGTAGGAAGACATCGTGCCATCGGACAGGAGGCGTAAGATTTAACTCGCCATGTGCTGCCGTCGCAGGAGCTGCTGGCGGAGGAGACGCGTCAGAAGCTGCAGATCTCCACAAAGCTGCGACAAGCCGAGGACGACAACCACAGCTTACAGGAGCAGCTGGAGGAGGAGGTGGAGGCCAAGAGGAATGTGGAGCGTCACGTTTCCACCCTCAACATCCAGGTCGGGACTCGGCGGGAATCAGTTCCACACCTACGCAAAAAAAAAAAAACTGACCAGGTGTGGAGAAAAACTTCCAAATAAACATTTTGTCTTTAGCTATCCGATGCAAAGAAGAAGCTGGAGGAGATGTCTGGGAACCTGGAGCTTCTGGAAGAGGGTAAAAAGCGACTGCAGAGAGATTTGGAGGCGGCCAACACTCAGTTTGAAGAGAAGGCCTCGGCCTACGACAAGTTAGAGAAGACCAAGAACCGTCTGCAGCAAGAGCTGGAGGACACGCTGATGGACCTGGAACACCAGAGGCAGATCGTGTCTAACCTGGAGAAGAAGCAGAAGAAGTTTGACCAGGTGAGATGAGTAATGAGCTGTTTTTGTTTAGCCTTACTGGTCACGTTGAGAAAAGTCTGTCTGATTCAGGTCTGAGACTTGATTTTGTTCCCCTTGGACCTCCAGATGCTGGCTGAAGAGAAGAGCATCTCCAGTAAATACGCAGAAGAGCGAGATCGTGCAGAAGCTGAGGCCAGAGAAAAAGAAACCAAGGCTCTGTCCCTGGCAAGGGCTCTGGAGGAGGCCCAGGACTCCAGAGAGGAGCTGGAGAGGGCCAACAAGGCCCTGAGGGTGGAAATGGAGGACCTGATCAGTTCCAAGGACGATGTGGGGAAAAATGTTGGTGCTCCTTCACGTCTCGCTCAAAGGCTTGAATCGTTGACAAAGCTGCGCCTTGTTGCTAATCTGAAAACACGTTGATGGCAGGTTCATGAGCTGGAGAAGTCCAAACGAGCCCTGGAGGCCCAGGTGGAGGAGATGAAGACCCAGCTGGAGGAGTTGGAGGATGAGCTGCAGGCGGCTGAAGACGCCAAACTTCGTCTGGAGGTCAACATGCAAGCTCTGAAAGCTCAGTTCGAAAGAGACCTCCAGGGACGGGATGAGATGGGAGAGGAGAAGAAGAGGCAGCTCGTCAAACAGGTGGAGGGTTGAATTCCTTTGCTTCCGCTACCGGGACAGGAGAACGCTTTGCTCAGACGATGGTTCCTGACTGCAGGTCCGTGAGCTGGAGACGGAGCTGGAAGATGAACGTAAACAAAGAGCCCAGGCGGCAGCAGCCAAGAAGAAGCTGGAGACGGACATGAAAGACCTGGAGGGACAGATCGAGACGGCCAATAAGGGACGAGACGAGGCCATCAAGCAGCTTCGAAAGCTCCAGGTGAGAGCCCGCAGATGGAGATTTAAATTCAACACTACACTGTTGATGCGTGAAGTTTCTCCACTGGAATTACTCCGGCCACATCTGTTCTCCTTTCTGTTGCTCCCTCCAGGCCCAGATGAAAGACTACCAGAGGGAGCTGGAGGACGCTCGAGCAGCACGGGAGGAGGTGCTGGTCACTGCAAAGGAGAGCGAGAGGAAGGCCAAGAGTCTGGAGGCGGAGCTGATCCAGTTACAGGAGGTGACTCTGTCCGTTCCTCCTGAGGAGGCAGAGAGACGCTTCTCTGCAGACGGAAGCGTCTCATGATTCCCTGCATCTCTGATCTGTTTCCAGGAGCTGGCTGCAGCGGAGCGGGCCCGGAAGCAGGCCGAGGCTGAGCGGGACGAACTCTCCGACGAGCTGGCCAGCAACTCCTCTGGAAAGTGGGTGGAACGTTCCACGCTTCGGCTCCACCTGTGGAGAGAATGAAGAAAATGAACCATGTTTCTGCCGTGGTCTGCTTCCAGATCCGCCCTGGCTGATGAAAAGCGTCGGCTTGAAGCCAAGATCGCCCAGCTGGAGGAGGAGCTGGAGGAGGAGCAGAGCAACATGGAGATCCTCAACGACAGGCTGAGGAAGAGCGCGCAGCAGGTGACAACCGGAGAAGCCGATGGATTTGTGACGCTTGATGACGTCACAAATCTTCACTCGGCTTGTATTTTATCGCCAGGCGGAGCAGCTGAACGCCGAGCTGCAGACGGAGCGCAGCGCCTCCCAGAAGAATGAGAGCGCCCGGCAGCAGATGGAGCGCCAGAACAAGGAGCTGAAGGCCAAACTCCAGGAGATGGAAAACCAGGTCAAGTCCAAGTTCAAGTCCTCCATCTCTGCCTTGGAGGCTAAAGTGGCACAGCTGGAGGAGCAGCTGGAGCAGGAGAACAGGTTGGGACCAGTCCAGGACGACTTCAGCGGTCGTTTGCTGGTGGCGGTGCAGTAAAATCTGTTCACCTCATCTTAGGGATAAGCAGGCAAACGCCAAGAGCATGCGCCAGAAGGACAAGAAGATGAAAGACTTGATGATGCAGCTGGAAGATGAACGGAAACAGGCGGAGCAGTACAAAGACCAGGTAGATCCGTTCAGAGTTGTGTAAATAAATACAGTAAAACGGGAAGGTTTGTGCAGCTTTTATAATTTTTAGGATGAAAAAAACCTTCCAAGCTAGGATCTTCACTTTTCCTGTTTTAATTCCAGTCGGAGAAGGCCAATTCCCGCATGAAGCAGCTGAAGAGGCAGCTGGAGGAGTCAGAGGAGGAGTCTCAGCGCGCCACGGCTGCTCGCAGGAAGCTGCAGCGGGAGCTGGACGAAGCCACCGAGGCCAACGACGCCATGAGCCGCGAGGTCAACTCCCTCAAGAGCAAACTCCGGTAGGGTCACGAGTCAGACTGGGACTCGTCGGGTCCAAAAGACACAACAACCATCTGTAATGAAAGCGCTTTAACCAGCAGCATGACTGGAACCGACCTCAGATAGACGGTCCGACTACCGAAGAGCAAATCCTCGTGATTCTGCTTTAGCTGCATTTGTCTTTGCACAATAAGGCTGTTGATGTTGAGCAGGAACACATGGTGTCCATCTCTATTACAGAGGCAACCCTGAACCTAAGGAGTAACGCAGCAGGTACCTCTGCACCTAGACGCCACCCCCCCACCACCACCACCCACATGTCTTTTATTCTCCGTGCACGTTAAACCCTCATCTCTTCCATTTGAGCGTAACTGAGAGAAATATGGCTCAACAACAGAAAATCATTCACCGGCACCTTTTCATTCCTCCTCACCTCCGCGTGGGCGGCCATGTTTTTCTCAGTGCTTGGTTTAAGTGTCATAAACCGAACTCATTGTCCTGAAAAAGGAGGTGAATGAGTTGGCGATAACGGCGAGCTTCAGCTGTAACCTACGCACCACCCGTCTCATCGATTCTCTCTGTAGCACCTTAAAGCTTCACGTGCACCATCACACCCTCTCATTGTGTGTGTGTGTGTTTTAGGCGTGGAAATGAGCCCTCCTTTGGCAGCGCACCGCGGCGAGGGGGCGGAGGCCGAAGGGTGGTCGAGGACGCCTCAGAAGAGGAAGTGGACTCCTCGAGTGACTTCAATGGAACAAAGTCCTCCGAGTAACGGACGGAAACCCAGAACAAAAACCAAAATCAGAGCAACACCTTCCACCGTAAAGCGGAGAAAATCCACCATTTATCAGCTTTTTTTTCCTTCCCAGCTGAATTTATACTCTCCTCCCATTTCCAGCAGCTTTAAGGATCACGATGAGTCAAACCCATCATGAGAATCGCCACTAGACGACCTGGTCTCGTTGCTCTGCTGATGGGATGTTTTGGTTCTTTAATGTTCACTTTTTTTTTTTTATTACTGCACTAAATGATGATTTCTGCGATGTTTTGTACACAGAGGTGCTTCTAATTATCACCTAAGTTGAGAGCGGAGTGGAGGAAGTGTTGCCTGTGACTGCTGTTTGTTACAGAACAGCGCTGAAACGGTCCAGATGTGTGGAACGCCGTCTGCATCCGAGAGATCTAGCCCAGAGAGCTTTTCTACATTATTGCACCTTTCCTGCTGCGTCCAGCCCAGTGAAGACCCGAGCTCCGTTGTTTTAGATGCATTTTAATCCATAAATCCTGAGTCACATGTGGATATTGGGCACTTCTATTTGTGCAACTTCCTGTTTGTGTGTGTTAAAGGCTCCCCATCACCCTAAACCTGGGGTCCTTTAATCATGTTAAATATAACCAGCTCATGTTCACATGACACCCTTTGTAACCTTCAACTGTTGAACCACCTGCACAGAAATAAAAACCCAGAAAAACATTTTGACATTGCCCTTTTATTTTTCTGTCTTGGTCTGACTTTACTCATTTCTGAGATCAGCAGAAAATAAGTTGTTCCAGTATCTCTGGCACAAAGAGAAGCGGTTCACAATGACAGAAAACTCCCGTTAGCCCAGGAGAAGGTGAGCAGCAGCGTTAATCCTACAGGCTAGTGTTAGATACGATTAGCTGGGAACATCTGACCTACGAGAGCTGCTGCCACTCGACTAACCTCTCATGAAAGCAGGCACTACTGGATCACAGCTCCACACCTGTGATATAAACTGTGCTTATCTGACCTGTTAAAATCTATTATTGCTCCATTTCTCTCCCCATAACCCTCCGAGTTATCACTCAGTAGTGCACGAGTGCCTTAAACAGGAAATGTTTTTAGCACTAGACGGTAAACCTGAAGCATGAAAATGTTCCGCTCTGAAGTAAAACTCTTTAATATTAGATTTCTTGCAAGAAAAGTCTAAAATTCAAGCACCCAGAAAACTGTTAGAGGATTCGATCGGTTTTGGATTCACAGCAAAACTCGACGATGACGGCAGCAATCTCAAATGCTTCTATCGCAGCTTTGGTCATAAACACTTCAGATTATTGGTCCTCAGCCAGGAGCTCCAGAAACAAAACGCAGCATCCGAGACAAAGGGACTAACAGGTTCTGCACAAAACACCACGCTGCCTCCAGCGATCCGCCCGAGGCTCCAGACGTCCACGCAGGGGTCCGGAAACGGGACAACACCCTGCTGTGGTTGGAGGAGGAGGTACTGGTGATGGCTCGTCAATTTTCCACCCTATAGCAGGATCTTGACCCCTGCCTGTGGAGACTGGGGCCCCTGGGAGAGTCCTCTTGGAGGGGCGGGCCCGAACTCTAACCGCTTCACCAAACTAAAGGAGAAAACACAGAAAATTCACCTCAGAATTATGTAAAAGCACCAAAAGATGTGGAGGATGAAGCACGCAGAGCACCACGGTACTTTTCCCGTACCTTTCGTAGTGAGGAGGAGGGCTTAAGCTGCAGGTCTGGACCTCTGGACCCGTTTCTGAACCCGAGGGACTACCTGGGCCAGCCGGGAGAGCCGGTCTGCTCACTGACGTGTCGTACACAAAGTCTCGACAGGAAGCCAGCTTCGACTCCAAATTCTGACAGAAAACATTAACTGCATCAGCGAAAACATTCAAACGCATAAAAGGAAAACCGACTCGAAGGAAAAAGTTTAATCTTACCCCAACTTTTCTCAGCAGCTCCCCAACGATGTTTAAAGCCGATATTCTGGCAGACGTGGTTAGCGGGGTCCCCGTTAGACCGTCTCCTAAACAAACACCAGCTCATAAATACACATAAGATAATCGTTTAAGTCATCTGCAGGCTGTTTTACCACCTCGCCGGATGCTGGAGGCAGGCGGCGTCATGTATGAGCTGGCAGGTTTGGAAGCGACGGACAGATTCACTGGAGAGGAGCAGGAGAGTTCGGATCGATCCGAGTCTTTTCCCAGGCTGCTGGACGGCCGTCTCTCCTTCTGTCGGACTGCCAGCTCCTGACGAAGATCTGGAACAAAACCGTGGACATCCATACAGAACAATGATGAAAGTAAAGCCGTTAACAGCGCCACCTTGTGGTAAAACAATAGAGGCGTTTATTCTACATGAATCAGAACTTTTTTGCTCTGATTTGTTGCTTTTCCACTCGGGTCTGAGCTACAGGCTGGATCCGGCCGGAAGCAGGAAGCGGTCATTGTGCACATTTCTAAAGGGTCCAAGTGGATTCTTCAGTCTGAAAACAATGGTGGCCACGAACGTCTCCTCCAGGTGTGCTTCCGCCCTGATTAGGCCTGTTAGGGGGAACAAAGGAAGCCCCAGGTGTGTGCAGATTCTCGCCTTGGCTGAGAATTCCAACATGGGCTGTCAGGTGTGAATGGGACCTGGAGCCAGGAATGGCTGAAAGGGCAGAGAAGTTACGCCTGAGGCCCCCCACCTCTGTTGAGGGGGGGCTATTTATTTGCACATGCCAAGCCTCCTGAACCCCTTCATGAAGCCCTTGTCTTCTGTCCAAAATACAAACCTTGTTGTCCTCAGGGTTAGCTCTTTCAGATGGAGGTTAACGGCTGATTCTGGTCCTGAGGTGTCGTGTTCCACATGCTGGGCTCTCGTATCGCATTTATCGCTCTGTAATGACGCAACGGTCCTCCTCTTGTGTTCGGGCATCCGGTCTTCAGGACATACCCGTCTGAATGTGGCTTTACCCGGCATGCGGCTGCGTATTTAACGACATACGGAACATGCACGGTGCGCCCACCTCTTGCTTCGTCCTTGAGCCTCTGGACCGACTCCAGCAGGTTCTCCTTCTCGTCCAGCTCACTCTCCAGGAAGGCGTTCCTCTCGATGACGTGGTTCATCCGCTGCTCAAAGTCCTCCAGAGACATGATGGTAGCTCTGACACGCAGAAACAAAAAATAAATGACTAACTCCATCAGTCAGAGCAAACCCGGTCGCTGCAGAATTACTCGAAGCCAAAATCACCTGACTCTGGCTACGAGGGGAGGGACTAAATAAACTAAAATGTAGACGTGATAAAAAGGTTAAGCAGCATTGACGCTCGAACACACTGACCTCTTGGTCCTCTCCAGGTCATCGTTGGCCTGTTCCAGCTCTCTGATGTACTTCTGCAGTTGATCTCGAATGGCAGTGGTCTCTGTCAGATCTTCCTCCAGCGTAGAGATGTGCCTCAGAGCATCGGAGTGCTGCGTCTCAAATTTCTCCTTCAAACGGGACACAGGAAAATCCGTCACCACTAAACACTTTATGAGACCCTGGCAGGGCGATCAGCACAGACACCGTTAGACTTCAGATTAAAGAAAGAGTGCTTTGATTTCTTAGATTTACATTTTTGGCATTAAAGACAAAACGACCTTTGGTAGACTACAATTTTCCTCTTTGTTCCCAAAAGTTTCACCTTTCCTTTCCCTACGGAGCTCTTCTCCACAGCAGTGAGGTACCTCATCTAGTCAAAGTTTTGAGTAATAGACGTTTAAAATACAAAACCCAATTTGGGCTGGCTAAAAGCTGCAAAGTGTGCGATAAAAAATGTTCCAACTACAGAAGACTAATGGGCCATTCCCATCTGTACCGGGTCGGCCCTGCCCGAATAGCTCCAGTCGGCCCCAGCCTGGCCCGGTTGATTCCACACATCCTTGCTTAGGTATGCAAGGAATGCAGTCAGAGACATTTTCAGCTTCTAGGTAATCAGCATGATAATGAACTGAGCATGCCTTAAGCCCATGTGGGCTGATTCTACCCACCAATCAGAGGCTTGCTCTAATGGAAGGTGTGAATTTGTGGGTGTGTTGGCCCTGGTCAGCCTGAAGCAGACCACCTCAGAAAGAGGGCTGAAAAACAGTCTCGTTGCACCCTGAAAAAAGGCAGGCCACCAAGATATGTAACAAGATAAACAAGCTAATGGGCCATTCCCATCTGTACCGGGTCGGCCCGGGCCGGGTAGCCCCAGTCGGCCCCAGCCTGGCCCGGATGATTCCACACATCCTTGTCTTAAGCCCATGTGGGCTGGTTCTACCCACCAATCAGAGGCTTGCTCTAATGGAAGGTGTGAATTTGCTGTCAGCAGTGGGTGTGTTGGTCCTGGTCGGCCTGAAGCAGACCCCCTCCAGAAGAGGGCTGAGAATGAGCCTTGGTTGGCCCGGAAAAATACCAGGCCACCCAGATATGTAAACAACCTACGCTACCCGGCCCGGGCTGACCCGGTACAGATGGGAATGGCCCATTAATGTCACTAACTAGTAGAGCTCCAGTCGCATGATTCCCGGGCTGACTTGCCTTTATGTTCTCCAGGTCTAGACGGAATCTGTTGTTGTCCAACAGCAGCTCTTTGTTTCGACTCTCACACTGCTTCAGCTCCGTTTCCAGTTCGGCTTCATAGTCTCGACTCATCTGCTGGAATTCTTGCAGCTCGTCCTGAGCCTCGTCAGCCCTGGAACCAAAACTGTGTTAAACCTGATCCAGATCACCCTCTTTGAACCCCACATGCCAGTCATAATAATGCTTTTTTATTTATTTCACGAAACACAAAGACAACACAGCAATAAAACAAGCAGTAAAAAACACAGAAACCTTCAAAGTTCAAACTCGATAGTAAAATTAGTGCAGTTGAAAAAGGCGTCACAGGAAGTCGGAAATAGGCGGGTTTTTAGTCTAGATTTAAAGGTGGAGAGAGCGAGTCAGCGTTACGGATGGCTTGAGGGAGAGAATTCCAGAAACGGGGAGCAGAGCAACTGAAAGCTCTGCTCCCCCGTAGTTCTGAGACAGAAATATGGAGCAGAGAGGCTGATGGAGGACAATGATGAGCTGAGGGAACAGATGGGGTCAGACAGGTATGGGGGGGGGAAGGCTATTTATGGGAAAGGTCATCGATACAGAACAGTTTTAAACCCTTAATATTTGTTTATTTTCACACAAGGAGCCAGATGTTCCAAAAGTCTTTTAAGGTGATATTGAACAGAAGTTTCTGGAAGTCTTTCACAGTTTTTCCTTTCGTTTGAATATTATTTTAGAACTAATGTCCCGTTGAGCGTTTGTACCTGACCCTGACAGCATGTGCTTAGACATCACACGTGTGTACTGGTGAGTTACAAAACAGAACTTCCACTCAGTGCTCAGGGGAACCGTGTGGAGAGGAAGCTGCTGGTGGCCAGGCGACAGCATTTCAGTGGTTTGCTGGCTGCAACAAAACCTGCTTCTGCAAAGTGTCATTAATTATACGGTAAAAAATGTTATTAAAGTAAACTACATTTCAAAAAAAGTTTTGCCAACTTTATCTTCAATCCCAGCGAGCGGTGTCTGAAAGATTCAGTTTGCAACTGAGTGACTAAAACATTCTTCTTCCAATTGTCAGTGATCGAATACAAATGAGTGAAAAGAACAAGATATCACTCAGATGAAAACAACAACAAAGGTCTGGCTCCTTGAGGCAAAATAAAAATAAACAAGGAATGACGAGTGATGACGTATACCCTCTGGAAATACCTTTGCTTGTGGAAGTGTGCCTGCTCCTTCCAGAACCCCACCTCCTCTTCTAGGGAAGAAAACGTGTGTGCTGTCGGCTCCACCATGTCTGCAGTTGGAAAAAAGGGACGATGCATCAAGCTAGAGCCTTTAATTCCGCAGTTATCTAGCGCGAGGACACGTTAGCATATGCTAATGAGGTTTAGATCAGAGGACCATTACAGCTACCCATTTTGTCACTAAGCTATATAATGGAATAATAGCTGCTGCTCACGTTTTTTTAACCGTTTATAAAGAGAAAACAACAAGCCGCGTCGAATAATGCAGTGAACACCAGCGTAATATTTAGCTAACGTATGCTAATGACACAGCTAGCGGATTAGCTCAAAGGGAGAATGCCCCACGCGATAATAAGCCGAAGGACTCACCTGCATACAGAGAAATTATATCAAGCTACGGATAAAGGAACGTAACTGAACGCAAGCTTAACTCCTAAAGTGTCAAGGGGCAGACTTCAGGTAACTAATCTCCTCTAACGTTAACCCTGTACTCGGTTTACCAACCAACCAAATTCAAACAACCCCTTTGTTTCAGAGAGCCATTGGGCAACACGGATGACGTTGTATGAAACTCGACCAATCATGGCGGTTTACAAACCTGTATTTCTGGAAGGCGGAGCTAAAACGCCGTATTAACCAATCGCTGTGAACGGTTTCTGCGACCATGCTTCCTGTCTGTATCAGAATGCGTTCGTAACATTAATAATAATAATAATAATAATACGTTTTATTTTAGAGCGCCTTTCTAAAACCGGAGCTTGCAGTGGTAAACAACAACAACAAACAATGGCCTTGAACTGTATTTGCATGCCTGTGACACAACGCGAACTTTTCTATAAAACTGAATTACTGAGTCAGAAAAAATAAACGGATTTACCTTTTGGTCGTAGGTTGTACAAGTTTTATTTAAAGGCCCAGACACACACTTGATATTTTAGCCTAGCATAACGCAACACAATGTAAACAACTTTTAAATGCTGTCGTTTTCATGACCAAGTTTAAAAAAATTCAACCCACATTTCATGTTAAGGTTAGTAAAAAATCTCAATGAGGTAACTTCATGCAACATTCTTTAATTACAGAAGTGTGTGTTGAGTTGTAACTCACTCCTTCAGTTGTCTCCCCCTCATCATGCTCAAGAACTTACAAGATAACATTTGTTGCTGCTCCTTACCTACATATAAGCATTAGACAATGCATTTCAAAGTTTGTGAAGTGTTTGCAGTCCTCAGCAGAGAAAAAGCCATGCAAGCACAGGTAAAGTGTGCAAACTGCAGATCAGAACAGCTCATCTCAACCAGCAGGTTTCTGCTAAAAGATGACAGTGAAAACCATTTTTTTCACCAAGCTACATAATTTCCTGGTAATCCCAGATTTGTTTTAGGCATTCTCCAAATAGAACAGTGCAGCAGAAACACAAAAGTACTTTTTAAGGAGTGTTTAATAGAGGTAGGAAAGACCCCTTGATTCACCGCTTTCAGTCACAGCAGTACGGACTACTTTGAGACAACTGGGATCAAATAAAGTGTAGAATGCAAAAATATTTGTAAAATTTTTTTAGTAAAAAAAAAATCAACATCTGCAGTCAAAAACAGATAATCTACATTCAACATTTTAATACTTACCAATAACAACAAGAACATCTGTGAACTAAACTATCACTTTGTGAGCTACAGTCAGCTGAAACCACCTCGTATTTTACATCAGGATGAGAATTTTGTGGATCGACACAAAAATCCAGCATCTCAGATAAAAGTAAGTTTTGCTCCAGGTTCCTCTGTTGCTCCAGCAGGACTTGCCCTCACTTCAATTCATCAGAAACATGGTGAGTGATCTGAAAGACAGCAAAAGATCTAAGATAAATTACTAGGGATGCACCGATACCGGTATCGGTGCAGATACCGATACGGTTATCGGTATCGGTAAAAGTTAACCGACACCAATGCAGTTGCTTAAAAATGCCTTCGCTGTAACTTGTCATTTCTGTTCACCTAATATTTTAGTTTTGTGATGATTTCTATTCATACATTTTACTTTTTAGCTACCTCACAGTCTTTTCCTGCTGAAAGCAGAGAAGAAAATAAAATCTGCATTCCAAATCATTGCATTTTTTTGTGTGGTAGAAGTATCGTATCGGTAATCGGTATCGGCGAGCACTCAGATCCAAGTATCGGTATCGTATCGCTTTGGAAAATGGGGGTATTGTTGCATCCCTACAAATTACCATTTTTAATTATACATTGTGCAGGAGGAGTAAATGTTCTTTATTACCTTAGCTCAATTATTCTTCAGGTTTATTTGTTTTTTTGCTCTTCGGACCGTCCAGCACGTCTGTTTTCACCTGGCCCAGAGTTTGCAGTAGACACATGGTGTCAAACCCCTCATCTCCAGCCTCCTGCAACAACTCCAGCACCTGTTGATGAGAATTTCGGGAGTTTACTGCAGAAAACAAAAGCTACAGTGAACCTGAATCACAGCGCTGTGCTGAAGCTCACCTGCAGACACTTAAATGACTTCAGTTCACTCAGGTTCTCCTCCAGGAACAGCAGATAGATACTGAGGTCATTGTAGATTGGAGTGATGACACCCAACGAACCAAATCCAGGCAGCATCTCATAGGGCCGAAGGAACCTGGAGCTCTGCCGTGACGGACCAAGAGCTGCGCACACCACCAGTGGAGCCAGAAGCACATACACGCCCAGGTTGATGTAGCTGAGCAGCCTAAAGACCCCTACGGCGACAAGCTTGCACTGAACGGCGGACTGCACCATGCTGTCGTTCTTCAAAATTCCAGTCCGCAGGTCACACGGGAACTCGTCCGTGAGAGAAGCCAGCAGGATGTAGTAGCTGAGGTAGAGGCAAGCCAGCAGGAGGATCAGCAGAGTCAGACCCCGGCACGCCACGTACTTCACCACCAGGCCGCGAGAGAAGCGCTTGGTTTTTAGGTACTGTTCCACTAACGGGTATTTAAAGCAGCCTTCAGCCAGTTCCAAAGCATCGCTGCAGAAAAAGCCACATCAACACAAAACACAGTATTAAATATAATAACAGTCTGACAGAAAATCAGATTGGGATTAAAGCTGGGGCACCTAGTTTAAAGTGTTTAAAATCTGACCCTGTTCTATGTTATAAAGCAGGTCCCTCTGCTGGCCTCTACAGCAGGGGTGTCAAATATGCGGCCCACGGGCCGAATCCGGCCCACAAGCGGGTTAAATCCGGCCCGCGAGATGGTTGTGTAAACTTTATTTTCATACTTTACAATGTAGAGTGAAAATAAACGTATCTTTGTGAGCAAGTTTTCTCTGTAATGAGTATAAATAAAACAAAGCTGAGCTCAACGCTCACACAAGAACTTGAATCACATCCTGAAGTTGGCCGCCACTCAGGATGTGACTTCTGATATTGATGTGCTGCTGAAAGCTAAAAGATGTTAAGTAAAACGAGTCAAGTATACTTTAAGTGCTGCATGACACTGATCTTGCCATGTGATCTGTAAGCTCTTTGAATCACTAAGGAATGTTATTTATTTGATTTTTTTTTTTCAAAATTTCAAGTACACTTCAGGTGTTGTACTTGTACTACACTGTCCTCAGGCTCCAGTCTTGTTTAATACTTATTGTATTAAAACAAAGAAAACAATCTGAAGTTGTTTTTATTTTACCGGTGCGGCCCACTTGGGACTAGATTTCCCTCAATGTGGCCCCTGAGCTAAAATGAGTTTGACACCCCTGCTCTACAGAGTCCAGCGTCTGACCAATACAGCTGTGTGTCCACAAGAGGGAGCTGTCCGTCCACAAGAATACTACCCGGGGATCAGCATGCACTGTGGCAAGGGTTGAGGCCTGCGTGCATTCCAGCATGTTTTAGTTTTGTTCCTGCTTCAGCTCACCTGGATTTAATCAGCGGGTGACTGACAAGCTTCTGCAAAGCCTGCTGAGCTGCTGAACATGTGGCTTAACTGTGTTGTAGCCAGAGGTGTGACCAAGTCACTGCTTTGCAAGTCACATGTAAGTCACAAGTCTTTCCAGTCTCGAGTCAAGTCCAAGTCAAAGACAACCAAGTCCAAGTCGAGTCCAAAGTCAATGATGTGGAAGTCCAAGTCAAGTCCAAGTCCTTAACTTTGAATTTTCAAGTCATAATCAAGTCACCTGTCCAACTTGAATTTAATGACAATGATGATAACTAAATTCCAGAATTCTTAAAGCTTCGTTTATTTGCTCAAACAGCAGAAAGTTCCGCTGAAACTGATTCTAAACAAAGTGCTGCTGCAGTGAGCGGTACAAGATCAAACCCGGAACCAAGAATGATTTACGATTTTTGTCCATGTCCAACCTCTTTTGAGCTAAAATATCAAATACGCTCAAGTCTCAAGTCAACAGATGCAAGTCGATTCAAGTCGCAAGTCACTGGCGTTCAAGTCCGAGTCAAGTCATAAGTCTATAGATTTTATCAAGTCAAGTCAGAAGTCATTAAAATAATGACTCGATTCTGACTCGAGTCCAAGTCATGTGACTCGAGTCCACACCTCTGGTTGTAGCAGGGAAACAACTAAAACATGCTGGATAGCAGCCCTTGAGGACCAGAGTGACCCACTCCTGCACTACGGGTGACACCTCTGGCAGCTTAGCACACCAACCTAGTGTGACAGGGTGAGAGTCCTGCCACTGCATCCTGATGGCTCATGCGCCCTGGCTGCTTTGCCAAGGGTGTGTCCCTTTGGCTGACTGGTTAGTGCGCGTGACTCTCACCTGGGAGTCTGGGGATCAAATCCCGCCAGGGCCCTCGTCTCTCCACCCTGCCACACTAGCTTGAATGCTAACTCAACCATCATTAATGTTGGCCTTTAAAATTCAAGCTTACAGTTCATCTTTATGCCACATTGACCAATGTTTTAGCCGGTAGCATTAGCATCAACGAGTGCCGGATTCATCCCCGCTTTTACAGGTTTTCCTGCTTGAACACTGAAAACGTGATTAAAACCAGTGAATAGCAGCTCCTGCAGAAGGCTGAGGAGATCCTTCAGCAGTTAGAATCGGGTGTCTGACCAGGAACATGTCAAAGATTACTTGTCCATTAGCGCTACAAGGCTGCGTGCTCAGCGTGAGGCCTGATTTTCAGCTCCTTCTAGAAGGGGAGCAAGGGTAGGAGCTATAGGGAGCCCAAGTCTCCTCCCTTTCCAGTCAGCTCACGAATCCCCGGAAGAACAAAAAACGAATGCAAGTCAACGGGGCTAAAAGAGCCATTTTCTAGCCCACTTAGCCTTACGCCCTGGATCACACGTGTGTTGTACTGCAATTTAAATGAAAAGAACCGATGGGTGTTTCGACCACGCCAGTCACGTACTTTGAGATTAGTCAGCTTGTAAAAGTTCGTAATAAGCATGGCTACAAACTAGAAATCGGTACGTCGCATATGTGACATCACCACATAAGCTCCTCCCCCCTAGCATTGCTGCTAGTCACCACATGACCAGATTGATGATGGTTCTTTCCTCCTGAAGGAAGGAGTTTAAGTTTGCTAAACTTACAGCCCTTTTCCTGGTTCGATGGCATGTGTGTGTGTGTGTGTGTTGAATGCGTGCGTGTGTATGTGCATGTTTATGTGTGTGTGTGCGTGCACATGTATGTGTGTGTGTGTGTGTGTGTGTGTGTGTGTGTGTGTGTGAGTTTATGTGTGTGTGTGTGTGTTTATGTGTGTATGTGTGTGCGTGCGTGTGTATGTGCATGTTTATGTGTGTGTGTGCGTGCACGTGTATGTGTGTGCGTGTTTATGTGTGTGTGTGTGCATGTTTATGTGTGTGTGTGCGTGTTTATGTGTGTGTGTGCGTGTGTGTGTGTATATGCATGTTTATGTGTGTGTGTGTGTGTGTGTGCGTGCGTGTGTGTGCGTGCGTGTGTGCGTGTTTATGTGCGCGTGTGTGTGTGCGTGTTTATGTGTGTGTGTGTGTGCGTGTGTGTGTGTGTGTGTGTGTGTGTGTTTGTGTGCGTGCGTGCGTGTGTGTGCACGCGTGCATGTGTGTGTGTGTGTGCGCGTGTTTATGTGTGTGTGCGTGTTTTTGTGTGTGTGTGTGTGTGCGTGTTTATGTGTGTGTGTGTGTGTGTGTGCGTGTTTATGTGTGTGTGTGTGTGCGTGTTTATGTGTGTGTGTGTGTTTATGTGTGTGTGTGTGTGTGTGTGTGTGTGCGTGCGTGTTTATGTGTGTGTGTGTGTGCGTGTTTATGTGTGTGTGTGTGTTTTTGTGTGTGTGTGTGTGCGTGTTTATGTGTGTGTGTGTTTTTGTGTGTGTGTGTGTGTGCGTGTTTATGTGTGTGTGTGTGTGTGCGTGTTTATGTGTGTGTGTGTGTTTATGTGTGTGTGTGTGTGCGTGCGTGTTTATGTGTGTGTGTGTGTGCGTGTTTATGTGTGTGTGTGTGTGTGTGTGTGCGTGTTTATGTGTGTGTGTGTGTGTGTGTGTGTGCATGTTTATGTGTGTGTTTGTGTGTGCATGTTTATGTGTGTGTGTGTGTGTGCATGTTTATGTGTGTGTGTGTGTGTGCATGTTTATGTGTGTGTGTGTGTGTGCATGTTTATGTGTGTGTGTGTGTGTGCATGTTTATGTGTGTGTGTGTGTGTGCATGTTTATGTGTGTGTGTGTGTGTGCATGTTTATGTGTGTGTGTGTGTGTGTGCATGTTTATGTGTGTGTGTGTGTGTGCATGTTTATGTGTGTGTGTGTGTGTGCATGTTTATGTGTGTGTGTGTGTGTGCATGTTTATGTGTGTGTTTGTGTGCATGTTTATGTGTGTGTGTGTGTGAGAGAGAGAGAGTTTACCTCTGCTTGTCCTCAGTAGCATTTTTGCCTTCTAATGATGCCAGATTTTTAGCCAGTTTGATGGCGCGGTTATAAAAGCGGTCGAGCTCCTCCATGATGAAGTTGAGGTCAGACGAGAGGAGCGGAGCTGCTGTGAAACGCCAGATCAAGGCAGGGATGGACATCAGGATGGCCAGCAGGAGCAGGGTGTAGGGAAAGAACTGAGAGTATCAGAAGGAAGTTAAAACGGAGACAAGAAATTACATTTCTGTAAACTGTTTTTATTGGACATCTTATTTATAAAAGTCAGTAATTCAACAAATATTTAGCTAAAAAAACTACCAGGATCTAATAATATCTACTTCTTTATAGCCCAACTGCTGTGTTACATGAACTATATCGCTAAGTCAACTATAGCGCCCATTATGAGTCCTCCATTGAACACGGTGGCTAACTTTATTGCTGCACCTTGTGAAGCCATAAGGGTGAACTGTCAGCTTGTTGCTGCACTGCTGCCCAGCAAAAGGAGTCCACGTATGCGGCCTGTCTCCAGGAAAAGTTAGTGGGAGCAAAGCAGCTGATCTGAGTCCCTGAGAAAGAGAAACCAATCAGTCGTATGAAAACAACACCACCCCTCCCTCGGCTGCCCTGATTAGTCCGTGACCTGTTTACAGCGAGTGAATATGTTGTGTTGCACCCTCATGTGGTGGAGGGAAGTGTCACAAATGCTCAGTTATATTTAGGAGAGGTGGCTATCATGTTTACATGTTCAGCAAGGCCTCTCTCACTTTAAAAGGCATGAAAAGCTTTTATATTCTACAATAACGCTGACGATATATATCTACATATGTATATGCAGGGTACCCCAGCTCTCAGGTGTAACTAAACTTCCAACATTATCTGTGCAAAATACGATAATTTAAGTTGGCCCGCTTGCATCAAACAAACAAAACATTTGAGACGTAGCTGAAGAGTTGGATGTGTAATAGGTGCGTGGTGTGTAACGCTTGTGTCATTAAAGAGCAAGTCACCCCCTACCAGATTCTTACTCCACTCCCACTTCCTGTTTGAAAAATGCAACAAATGCTGTTGCCTAGCAGACCGAGAGGGCGGAGCCGCTAACAAACACACACACACACACACACACACACACACACACACACACACACACACACACACACACACACACACACATACAGGCTCACAACGACATTGTGACATCATATGGTACCAGCTAACGTTCTAGGGTACCTCTTAGCCAATAGCGATGGCAGATTTAAATTCAAATGCAGTGCAGAGTTTTTACCTGACAACGGCACAACACCGACAGTTTTAAGCAGAACATTAACATTTTAACAAAAATGCACTAAAGTGCAAAACTACTGACTACACGTGTCTGCAGCACGATTAGACACACACTTATATAGTTTATCAGGAAAAATAAGTTGATGGGGGTGACTTGCTCTTCAACATATCACCTTCTGATAACCGGAACAAATCTGGATTTTTATGCTGGATCTTTTCAAACCGGGACCTTCTCAAATCATTGTACAACAGACAGTAAAACAAAAAAAAAAGAAATTAATCTTCAACAACATCTAGATCGCATAAAACACAGACGTTGCTCCTCCAATAACCCTTTGTATCTCCCCACTTCAGTAGCAAGAGGTGTAAACCACGAAAAGTTGTTTTATAAGTTAGAGAACAATCTCATATTTAAACCATGAATAAATATGCTGCTCAACAGCAAACAGGACGGCTCACTTCTGCTAAATGAGGATGCACATCTATAATTCTGCAGTGTCACTGTCTGAGTGGGGATTCCTATTGATCTGAGAGGATGTGGGCTTCCTAATGGGCGATCTCCCTGCAGACCTGAACTGATGCACATTTGTTTTGTTAATCTGAGGGATGCATTCTTCAGCTTTTTGCACCTAAATGACACAAGCTCTTCTATGGGGGGTGTGACATTTCCATCAGCAGCTGGAGCAGAGGGCTTGGGCGTCAGAAAGGGTGTGGCGCCTAACCACACCCTCCTTCCCAGAGTACACCTGCTTCTGCTTCTAATCCAGGGATTCACCGAGTCAGATCAGGGTCATCAGCTCCGCATAATGAAAGGAGACCAGACCCCCACCTCTCCACAACTCACCCACCGAGACCTCCTGAGCAAAAGCCAGCGAGATGAGGAACAAAGGAAGCCCCACCGTCAGAAACGTGACTATCTTGTCCACCGCCAGATCCAGACGCACCCCTTTATACTTGGTCTCCGATTGATCCTTCAGTAGAAAGTCGGAAAAGACGTACTCTGTAGCTACGGAGGCGATCGCCATGGCGGATAAAAACAAAAACCCGCCTCACTAGTTATAAAAAAGTATTTCTTTAATTTGCCGGTTTCCGTTCTGAGGTTTGGATCACCAAGAGAACATTAGTGAAGGAGAAACCTGAATGATATTTAGGACACGGAGTCAACCTATTGTTCCACAGCCCCGTGAACAACTCCAGCTGATGGTTGGACCCGCGGTCCGTTACTGAGCCAGGCATGAAAACAGAGCTGCCTGCAGGCGCTAGGGGGCGCTGTTAGTCCCACAGCACCAACACTGACATCCGCTGAGGCCAAGAAGGAGAAATACATACCACAACCGGAGAGTTATATGTTATATGCAGCTCGGTCCTGCTGCAAAAACAGTATGGAAGCCCATGCCTGCCTCTCAGATAAAAAAAAATACCTCATAATTATGAGATAGTATAGTATCTCATAATTATGACTCAGTTTCTCAGTATAATGAGATACTGAGTCATTATGCGTATCCCAGATACTAAGTCATTATTATGAGATAATAATTATAAGATAGTATCTCATAATTAGAGGTATTTTTTTATCTGAGTGGCAGGAATGGGCTTCCATAAAGATTCAGGACATTCTGTGTGGAGGACCCATGCTGCCAAAATAAATAAATAAATAAATAAGATTTATTTTCATATTCATTTCTTTACATCAATGTTTATTTAATTATTTCATTTCAACCTTTATTTATTCTGTATTTTGGCAGGATGAGTTCACCATAATTCTGACACCTTTGTCCTGCAGAAAGAAATTACACATCATCTGTTTCAGATGGTGGCTGTAGGTAGGGCTGTTTCCTCCCAATCTATCTCAACCTTTTTTAGCTTCCTAATCACAAAACCATCTCTCTAACTTGTCCTACCATTTATAACAGACACAGCAGGTTCTGTCTCTTATTACTCTCTTAAATCAGCTTTTCTCTCTGTCATTCGACCTGTTCAGCTTTCTAACCATGTTTCTCTCTATTTCAACCATCAGTTTTGCTATTTTAACAGTTTTTCGCAGCTTTTGTGTCACTGTGCCCATTTTTAACCAGTTCCATGATTATGGGGGAAATCTTACATATTTTCTCACTATTTAAATTTTCTTCCAATCATCTTTTTGCAAATTTGCTCTTTTTTACGTTATGCTTGTTTCTGCTTTTTCAATCAATTTCATTCCATAGACTTGATGCAGAGGACCTTGGCAAGTTGCAGGAGGCCTGCTTTGTTCACTGGTTCCCTCCATCTCTGGAGCTGGGAGCAGAATTGACTCGAAAATCATCGTACAAGTTTTTTTCAGGGTCAATACCATTTTCAAAATTAAATGGTCTATATTCATCCAAAAAAGAAAAACATAATTCCTCAATATTATTCCTATCTAAAGAATCCTCACTATCAGAGGAGTCACTCTCACCTTGCATATAAAAATTTAAACTTGTCATTTAATAAAGAGAAGAGAGAGAGATTCTACCATTTCCATCAGTTATATTTCTCCAGTTCTTTCAGGTTTCTTATCACAACCACCTTTGCCTGCTCTGGTGAGCCCTTTAATCATACTAACACCTTCCCATTTTTTGACCATGTAGATTGCATTTTATTCTGTTTTCTGAGACTTCGACAATTTTTAGCGATTTCAGCATTTTTCTTAGTCAAGTGCTCATTGATGTACGCACCAGTATCTTTAAAGAGCAAGTCACTTCAAATCACCATTTTTTTTTTGCTGATAAACTATATAAATGAGTGTCCAATTGTCGTTGTCCGTTGCTTATCCGGGTCCGGGTCGTGGGGGCAGCATCCCAACTAGGTAGCTCCAGACCGTCCTCTCCCCGGCCACCTCCACCAGCTCCTCCGGCAGGACCCCAAGGTGTTCTGGGACCAGATTGGAGATGTAACCTCTCCAACGTGTCCTGGGTCGACCCGGGGGGCTCCTGCCGGCAGGACATGCCCGAAACACCTCCCCGGGGAGGCGTCCAGGAGGCATCCTGACCAGATGCCCAAACCACCTCAACTGACTGCTTTCGCTCCGGAGGAGCAGCGGTTCTACTCCGAGTCCCTCCCGAATGTCCGAGCTCCTCACCCTATCTCTAAGGCTGAACCCGGCCACCTACAGAGGAAACTCATTTCGGCCGCTTGTATCCGCGATCTCGTTCTTTCGGTCATTACCCAAAGCTCATGACCATAGGTGTGGATTGGGACGTAGATCGACCGGTAAATCGAGAGCCTGGCTTTCTGGCTCAGCTCCCTCTTCACCACGACAGATCGGCTCAGCGTCCGCATCACTGCAGACACCGAACCCATCCGCCTGTCGATCTCCGGATCCCTCCTACCCTCACTCGTGAACAAGACCCCGGGATACTTAAACTCCTCCACTTGAGGTAGGACCTCTCCCGACCCGGAGTTGGCAAGCCACCCTTTTCCGGTCAAGAACCATGGTCTCAAATTTGGAGGTGCTGATCCTCATCCCAGCCGCTTCACACTCGGCCACGAACCTACCCAGCAAGAGCTGAAGGTCAGAGCTGGATGAAGCTAGGAGGACCACATCATCCGCAAAAAGCAGAGACGAGATTCTCCTGCCACCAAACTAGACATACTCCACACTATGGCTGCGCCTAGTGGTTCCTAGTGGTTCCTCCTCGGAATGTGTGTAGGTGGAATTGAGGAGCTCCTCAAAGTATTCCTTCCACCGTCCAACTATAGCCCCAGTTGACGTCAGCAGCTCCCCATCCCCACTGTAAACAGTGTGAGCGAGTTGCTGCCTCCCTCTCCTGAGGCGCCGGACAGTTTGCCAGAACCCATTGGAGCGAATCGATAGTCTTTCTCCATGGCCTCACCAAACTCCTCCCACGCCCGAGATTTTGCCTCGGCAACTGCCACTGCTGCACCCCGCTTGGCTATCCGGTACCTGTCTGCTGCCTCCGGAGTCCCACAGACCAGCCACGCCCTGTAGGCCTCCTTCTTCATCCTGACGGCTCCCCGAACCTCTGGTGTCCATTCGCGGGTACGGGGGTTGCCACCACGACTGGCACTGGCCACCTTGCGACCACAGCTAGCAACAGCCGCCTCAACAATCGCAGAGTGGAACAAGGCCCACTCAGAGTCAATGTTCCTCACTGCTCTCAGGACGCGGTCAAATCCCTGCCGGAGGTGGGAGTTGAAGACCGTCTTGACAGGTTCTTTTGCCAGGTCTTCCCAGCAGACCCTCACTATGCGTTTGGGTCTGCCAGGTCTACGCGGCATCTTCCCCTGCCATCTGATCCAACCCACCACCAGGTGGTGATCAGTTGACAGCTCCGCTCCTCTCTTCACTCGGGTGTCCAAAACATACGGCCGCAGGTCAGATGATACGACTACAAAATCTATCATCGACCTGTGACCTAGGCTGCCCTGGTACCAAGTGTATCGATGGGCATCCTTATGTTCGAACATGTTTTCATTATTGCCAAACTGCGGCTTGCACAGAAGTCCAATAACAAAACACTACTCGAGTTCAGATCAGGTGGATCGTTCCTCCCAATCACACCCCTCCAGGTCATGCTGTCATTGCCCACGTGAGCATTGAAGTCCCCCAGCAGGACAATGTAGTCCCCTGATGGAGCACTATCTAGCACTCGTCCCAGGGAATCCAAAAAGGGTGGGTACTCTGAACTGATATTTGGCCCATAAGCACAAACAACAGTCAGGACCCGTTCCCCGACCCGAAGGCGCAGGGAAGCTACCCTCTTGTCCCCCGGGGTAAACCCCAACACACAGGCAGAGTCTTGGGGCTAACAAAAAGCCAACCCCAGCCCTCCGCCTCTCACCCGGAGCAACTCCAGCAAAGGAAAGTGTCCAACCCCTCTCAAGGACTTGGGTTCCAGAGCCAATGCTATGTGTCGAGTTGAGTCCGACTATATCTAGCCGGTACCGCTCAACCTCTGCCTCAAGCTCCTGCTCCTTCCCCGCCAGCGAGGTGACGTTCCATGTCCCAAAAACCAGTTTCCTTGTCCGGGGATCGGACCGCCAAGGCTCCCGCCTCGGTCTGCCACCCGATCCACACTGCACCGGACCCTTCATGTTCTTCCTGCGGGTGGTGGGTCCACAGTTGGATGAGCCCATGTATCCAGTTCAGGCTAGGCCTGCCTCCAGGGTGGGACCCTGGTAACCCTCCGGGCTGGGTACTCCGACTCCTTGATTGTTCATCCATGAAAGATCCTCAGAACCGTTCTTTGTCTCACCCTTCACCTAAGACCAATTTGTCATGGGAGACCCTACCAGGGGCACAAAGTGCCCCAGACAACATAGCTCCTAGGATCATTAGGGCACTCAAACTCCTCCACCACGATAAGGTGACGGTTCAAGGAGGAGGTGTCCAATTGTGCTGTAGACAAATGTAGTCAATAATTCGGCACTTTAGTGCATCTTTGTTAAAATTTAAATATTCTGCCTAAAACTGTCAGCGATGCAGAATCGTCAGGCAAAAACTCAGCACTGAATTTTAATTTAAATCTACCATCGCTATTGGCTAAGAGGTACACTATGGTGTTAGATGGTACATTATGATGTCACAATGTCGTGAGTGTGTGTATTTGTTAGAGGCTCCGCCCTCTCGGTCTGTTAGGCAACAGCATTTGTTGCATTTTTCAAACATGAAGTTGGAGTTGAGTAAGAATCTGGCAGGGGGTGACTTGCTCTTGAAGTTTTTTAGCTTGTCTCAATATTTCAGCCTTGTGCTTTCGATTAGCAAATCTGGCTACAATGACAGGTGGATGAATTCTGTCCTTGCGAGGGAGAATATGACAAGCTGAGATTTGCTGACTCTCGAAGTGAATGTTCTTACTGTTGATGAAGTCGACCACTTGTTGCTCTAGAGTGCGTTGCACCTCGGGATATTCGTCCTCCCCTGAATGTTTGCTTGTTGTAGCAGCAAGTCTAGCATAGCTGCGATGGGTGGTAGCCAGGCCGCTATTGATAATTTCATCCGCCCGGGAATGTTGCTCCAAATCATCAATCCTTTGTTCCAGCAGTTCAATCTTCTCATCAATCCTCTTATTGCTGTTATTAATAAAGGCTTTTAGCTCTGATATGTCATTCACTCGGCCCAAAGGGTGGTTTGTTGAGACAGCACTTTGTTAATGTTTTCAGTTATAGCAGTAAGATGCTTCTTAATTTCTTCCAGTTCTTGTTCAAGTTGCTTAAAGAGCATGTCACCCCCAAATAATTTTTTTTGCTGATAAACTAAATAAGCGAGTGTCTAATC